CTTAAGAAACTTTTATATATTGATCACAGTTTAAAAGCAAGTTTGACTATTCTTTAGTAACCAACTGTTGTTCAGAGCTGCCATTTATATACAGTCCTTTGCTAGATGGCAAAGCATGTAATTTCTTACACATTTGCATGTACTTACTAATTGTACAGGTCCCATTGACTAACAAGAGCAAGATAATACAAACCAATGTTGAACAGCATGTTAAAATGCTTGTTAACCTCTGCGTTTGAAGCTAACACACAAATATGTGTTGCTAGAAGTTAGAAGCAAGAAATGCCTGCCGAGTGTGCATTTCATTAGAATCGAGACGTGTAAAAATCCGATACAAATTATTGTAGTATATCATTTATTATCCATGGGGGCAAACATAACATTAACATTAACAATACCAATAACAATGGAGCAACAAGCATTCTTACGTGTGCGGCGAGACTCAAGTCGATTTAAGTCGAGTCAAGTCGACTCAACTTGTGATGTGGGGTTCAGGGTCATCAATTGTTGTTATTACTGTACGAGTATTGCACGATTGTCGGCATCGAATTCTGCTTTCTGACTAAAAACTATGCATTATTTGTATTATTAAGTTGTGTGCTTGTCTCGCTGTTTATTGTTTTTACTATCGTTGTTGCGTTACTTAATATTTGTTCTTCATAATAATTATTTTATTACACAAAAATAAAAACTGCAAAAAGGAAGTTGACGACATCAGCAGATGTCGATTTTGTCATGCGTGGCTTGGAATTAAAACAATCGAAACTAAAACTGAGACGACGTCAAAAACACGGAGACTCACCTTCATGGCTGACAAATTGTGAACGAGCTATATATTTATATATATATATACTATATATATAGAGAGCTATAAGTATGCGTCTAATTGAAGATGTGCTTATGAGCTTAATAAGTATATTTTGTAAGTCGTGAAGGAAGCAGCTTTCTGGCTAATTGAAACTTGTTGGCCAGCCAAAGCTAACCTTTGTCGGCGCCCGGTTGGCCAACAACAATTAGATATGCCAGTTGAATCTGAGATACCTGTCTATAATTAGATAGATATACATCTAGCAGCAACGACTACTTGGCTTTCTAGTAATTAAAACAAATCTTCTGCTTATTGATTAGTTCCATAACAACAGCAACATTCTTGCCACCTGAACATTCCGAGTTGTGCTTTATTTCTATTTCTATTTCTCTTTTCTTTTCAAATATTTCTACGCTGAAACACAACATTGATTTATAGCAAAATTATTAATTTATTTAATTTATGTCTAACTGCTTAAATGCCTTAATTACTGTTGAAATTTCTAAGCATGTGACATCTTACTTTAAGTTTATTTATGGCGAGAGTTTAGCGAATTTACTTTCCAGCTGCCCAATACTTTAAAGTGGATTAAAGCAGACTTGTTTACATTTGATGTGTCTTTTTAGATATTTTGTCATTGATAAAAATGTATTGATATTATTTGTGAAATCGTGTCGTGTTTGTTGTTCATCTGTTAGCTCGTCCCACGATTTCGCATGTTTAAACAGCGCATTGTTCAACACAAAAGGCGGCACTAAGCTGATTTCAGTCTAGCTCTAAAATGATAAATATGCGTCTTTATACATATACAAGAAATTAAATAAAATGATGAAAGGTTTAAGTGGGTGGTTTGTTTTTATTTTTTCTTCTTTTTTTCTGATGCTTGTCGCAACAGCAAAAATTCTTTCGCACGATTATTTTTAATATTTTTTTCTTACCCGAAAATGTCTTTGCCATCAAAACTGCCAGCACTTAATCAAGCCGAACAATCAAGAACTGAACAGGGTCTGAAACAGAACACAGAACTGGAGAACTCTAACAAGCAACTACTACTTTAAACTCAAAGTCATCCAATTGTCAGGCACTTCAGAATTGTTCTCTGCTCTGTGCTCTGTGCTCGCTGTTGTTCACGTTGATTGAGCTCTGCTCCAAAGTTTTAACCCAGACCCAAAACAGTCCCAAACATGACACAAACCGCCAACAAAAAAAAAAAAGACAGTCAAAAGCCGTAATTGTCTAAGCCGCTTCTCCGAGTCTCACTTGAGTCCGTCCGTGTTTTTGTAATCTTATTGCGCGCATGTTTTTAACTTTAGAACGCTGATGTTATAAACAAATTACAAAAAAAAAATAACACAAGATACAAAAAAAAAATATGGTAAGATTGCTATGGTGGATATGAAATGACTAGCTGATACCCTGTTGAAAACGCCAATGGAGATCCACATTTAGTTAGGTTTTCAGAATAGTAATGAGAAATATGACAAATTTTTAATTAATATCAGAAAACAATAAAAATAGTTTCCTTAGGAACTCTCTTCTTCGGAAAAAAACAAGTTTAGTATTAAAAATAAAATTGAGCTGGCTTTCTCATGGGTCCTACAAATAAGAAACTATTTTAAGTATCTGGTGATTTTATTAAAATATGATACCATCATAATATAAGCAAAAAATTGTTGAATGTTTATATAAAAAGTGCACTGACTCTATTTTGGAATGCCCATTTCAATTAATAATCGCAATGAATACAGGGTATATAAAAAACAAACTCATGAACAAGCGCTGGCCATGTAAAAAGTAAAAAAAAGGCAAATGGCTTTCTTATAATTAAATTTCGATTTTGGTTTTTCTATTGTTGTTATTTCGTTGACGGTTAATTAATGAGCAAAAAATGTTTAATAATAATACATAAGAATATACGCAGCTAAAATTATAAGTTAGCCAATATATAATTTGAGAATCTTAAGTTCCACGCATCTGTCATGCAAATCTCTTTTGGTTTTCTTACAAGCATCCTGCTTGACTCTGCATCTTTTTCTGTTTCTTCCTCTTCATATCTGAACAATTAATCACTAGCAGCTGCCAAACTAGCACCAAAGTAACAAAAATATAGAGGAATCATTGAACTCGCGGGTTCTGTGAAAGGGATTTTGATTAATGAAAATAGATAGAAAGAAGATGGAATAATGCTAATGAATAGGTTGGCAACTGCTTTGTGTTTTGGCCACTTCTTCTTTAGCATCTGCATGACAATTGGTCATCGGCTAATTTTGGCCATTTGGCTAAATGTCTAAACATTTTTCTTTTCGGTATAATGCATAAAATATTTTATTTGTATTTATTATTTTCTACACAACCAGGCCTTCAAATTTGACCTGCATTTTATAAACTTCTTTAGCATCTGCATGACAATTGGCCACCGATTAGGTTTTGGCCATTTGTCTAAATGCCAAAAAAAATTTCTATAATATTTCTTTTATATAATATACTATATACTGTATATTTTATATTTATTTATTATTTTTTACACAACCAGGCACACCCATTCAGTTTTGAGCTGCATTTTATAAACGTTTTATGCCGCATACCAAAATCAAAATTAAAATCAAGTGAAATTTGACAACGTAATTTTGCGCAAGCGACGAAACCGTTTTGTTGTTGTTTAATTGATTTCTCGACAGGCAATGACACACATTGCCATTAAAGCCAGTCGATTTGCTTATAGCCACAGCAAATTCATAGTTGCTTATGCCTATTTAATGGTGCGCCACAAACGCCAAATGCTAAACGCCAAACTGTCAATTCCCATGTACAGCTGGGCGTATGCGTGTTTTTATTAGTTTCTATTTTGTTGTTTTGTTTTTTGTTGCTTTTATTATTGAGCCGGCGCAGCGACCTCAGTTATCACTCTTACTTAATGTGACTTATAATGATGTCGGTGCGAGTGTGCGTGTGTACCTGTGTGTGCCTGTGTGTGCCTATTTGAAGCTACGCTCCGATGGCCAATGGGTCGCTAGATCGTCAGACAAGGCAACTAACTGACACAACTCAGCATTGAGCAGCTCGTTGGGTTATCTGCCCAAGAGCAAAATTTGCTAGATCTTAATTTCGGAAAGATTGCTCAATCTTATTGTGCAATCATTAACTACATTTTAGCTGGTGTGTGTGTTCTAGTTTAACTCAAAAAGATCACAGCAATGCTCTTAGACTAGACTTTAAACTCACAAAAATTAACCGAATTGCACAAGTGATGACATTTTATATATTCTGGATCAGTATCAAAGGTCGAGTCGATTTAGGTGTGTCTGTGTGTCTGTCTGTATGAACAAATGGTTCTCAGAGACCATAAAAGGTAATAACTTAAAATACTTTCATTTTATTGATAACCCGTTTTGTTTCCGATAGCCGTAAAATAGAATTGGTAATTAATCTAACCAGACATATTAATGATCTGATGATCTAATGATCAACTGTAAAACACTCCTTTAAATTGGATAAGAAACACAGATTCTTTTTTTTGTTGATAACTGTCCCTGCTCACAGTTTCTGTGGCAGAATATCGATACATATCTATTTACTATCGCAACAAGAGCCTTTCAATTGCTTTATAAAACACACAGACATATTTAAATTTTAGTTAAATATATTAAGAAATATTTATTAGGGTTCCAATTTGTTCTTCATGCTTTGGCCCTTCGTTTAAGCATGTATCTAAATGTGGAAAGACAATTTTCAGTTTTCAAATTCAAATTCAAATAAACTTAAACTAATTGGCATTTAAGATTAACAACTGGCAGGGGAACAAGTCAAAGCGATTTTCACTAATGCACTAATGCAAACACTCTCTTTTCTCACATTTCCGACTATTTGCAGCAGCAGCAGCAAGGCGTACGATTTCCCAAGGCAGCAACACAGATAAGTCGCCAGCAAGACTTGAATTATTGCACGCAACAGCAGCAACAGGAGGAAGAGGCAACTGGATTTGCAACTGCAACCGCAAGACGACGACGACGACGCACTAACAATTGTGGAAAAGTGTGCAAACGAACAATAGCAACAACTTATGGTACTGCTACTGCTAGATAGATAGAAAATCAGTAAAAGCAACAAAAAAAAAAAAATAATAAAATAGAAAAACAACAAAGAAAACCCCGACAAGAAAACAGAGCAACAACTTTGATACAAAAATATATATATATACTTTTTGGTATATGCTTCGCTAACGATGTCGTTGATGAAAATTCATCGAAGCAATGAATCATTTTGGAGTTGTGGCACATTGATGTGGTTGTTGTTGTTGGCGCTGGCATTGTCATTGTTGTCGCTCGCAGAGACGACGGCAACATCGGCGACATCGACGACAGGCAGCGAAACGCAAACGAGTGCAACAAATGGTGCAATTAGACAGCAGCAGCAGCAGCAGCAGCAGCAAGGGGATCAACAGCAACAAAACAATGCAACTGCAACAGCAAATATTGCTTCTGGCAGCGAAAGCCAAATGCCAAATGCGAGTTTGCCAGAAATTTTGAGCGCCAGCGATGTGGGTAAGTAGATTTCTTATAACACATATTGCACATGCGACTTTGAAGAGTTGCACTTACACTCAGAGAAAATATCGCTCTGAATTTTATAAAAATGAAAGTTTGCACTTCAATTTTTTTTAACTCATTTGAAAATATTTGTAAAAAATTATAAAAAGACAACATATCTTTGTAGTTGCCGATTTAGGGCAAACCCTTCGAATTGTTAGACAAGTTTTTTCTTATTATTTTAAAATTGTTTGAAAAAAAACAAGAGAAACTTAATTGTTTTGGGGACGAACTTCTAAAATGCAGGTAGATTTTATTTGCTGAGTGTACAATGCAACAGCAACAGCGCCCCTTTGGCCAGGTAAAATTATGGGCCGCGTTTCGGAAAATTGGCCGAAATAAATCTTTGCCAATTATTGACCAACTGCCAGCAGCAACAAGCGGCGCAATAAAAGCTCCGCAAGAGTTGGCTGGCTGCAAAGAAATACAATTGGCCAGCTGAAAGTGCGGCAGAAGAGACAACAACAACAACTAAAACAACAACAAGTTTTGGCATTGGCTAATCTCTTGCATTTGAAAGACAGTCGTTAGTCAAATGGGGGCTCTAAGTGGTTTCTTCTTCAAGCTTGTTGTTTGCAGTACTTCTATTTGGCCAAGTATCTACAACAGTATTTATTATTGACTCGTTTATCTAAAGCCCTAGCACACGACTATATATTCAAAGAGAGATCAAAATCTATGTTGATTTTGCATGCTCTTGTTAAAATCTCAACAAAAAATAAATATAAAAAAAATAAATACACATTTTGATGACTTCGGCATGCTGCAAATAGCCTTCCTTTTCCATGCTTGATTGTCTGTTGCAAGTGAACTTTAGGCCAAACTTCAGCTGTGTACTTTAGACGCTTTAGCCATTTTTTGTCCATGGCGTTCACATATATGCTTAAATGTTATTTCTATCAAGTATTTTTATGAGCAATTACTTTGTTAGTTTCGTGGGCGTCAATTGTCTTTGAACAGGGGGTTTGCTGTGGTCGTTATCGTTGTTGCTGTTGCTGTTGTTTAGGCCTAGTTGCCAAGGCCTGCATTTTCACCTGAACAAAAAAATATTGTTTGAAATTTATGTATTTATGCATGTTTATTCATGAGCTGACTTGGGGCTACTCTTTCATGATGTTACCCAAGCTTACATAAACTGGTTATGGCCAGAGAGCAATAAACAAAAAAAAAAAAAAAAAAAAAAACTCCCAACTAAACAAAAGTTTAATGCATTTTGATTATTTCTGCTTTATTTTTTGTTTTGTTTTTTGGTTAAAATCTCTCCCGCTACTGCATGAATATATGTATTTATATATATGCATATATGTATTTTTATTTTTTGATATTTTTAACACCTCGCCAAAGTTACGAAATGCAGTTCTTCAGTCGAAGTTCGCTGGCTGTTGTTGTTGTTGCTGTAGCTGTAGCTGTTGTTGTTGTAGGTGTCACTTGAGGTTGAACTCAAACTAGCCAACAGCCAACAGTTAAAAAGCAAAATCCTCAACAAAAATATCAATATTGGTGGAACTTGCCACTCTTTGTTGCCTCCTTTGCTGCCTGTGTGTGTGTGTGCTCATTACATTTACCTGTTGATTGTCTGTCCATTCGTCTCTTTGTTCGTCTCTCTGTTTGTCTGTTTGTTTGTTTGTCTGCCTGTTTGTTGCTGCTGCTCATGTGCGTTCATTGCGTAATCTTCCGACACATTTACCAGGCGTCTTCAAGCGTTGGCTTCAAGCAGAAGTTGATGGCGAAGAGGCAGAGGAGCGCCTCAAGAAATCAGAAAAGTCAACAGGCAAAAGAAAACTGGCAACATAGCAGTTCGGTTAACCAGCCAGTCAACCAACTAGCTCTGCCAAGTGCAGTGCTTGCAAAAACTGCAACAACCAACAGCAACGTCTGCAATTTTCGTGCTGCATGTGCAACACAAAATCGGCGTTGTCGCTTCGTACCGCCTGGCGTATGCGCAATGTGGGCGGCATGCCACATACGTTATATACGCTGTACGATTGCCAATTTTAGTTGAAGCTGCGGTTTTTTTCTACTTTTGGTTTGGCGGCACTTAAGTGGGTGTAGCTATATAGATGTATGTATACACTGTGTAAGTGGTTATGATTCATTGTCTTAGGCCATATCACAAAAGAGCAAGTGAGTTAGCGAGAGAATACCTAACTAAAAGATACCCTGCTACCAGGTTTCAAAATAAATTAATAAATCTTCGATTCTTTAAAGAAAATCGATATTACACTTCTATTCAATATGATACAGAATTACAGTAAATGAAAATATACTTCTTCTGAATGTAATAACTCTTTTAACTCTTTAGTTTAACTAGTCTCTAAAAGGTTTACATACCAACGCCTATGTTATCTGACAGATTGACTTATCGATAAATGAAAATATTCTTATTTTATTATTATTTACAAATATTCGATATTTTCCTCGATGTTTTCCCATCTCTTTAGCTTAAGCAGTCACTGCGCTTATTGCCTTTTTTACAGGGCATACAAATTCCAGCTGCTGCATTACGTCTGTTAGGTAGCCAAGAGATATATGATTTAGGCCACTCCCCGTACAGACACATTCCCCCTTCGCCCTAAATCCCCTCTGCAGTCAGACGTAACTGTTCGAGTATTTGTGTGAATCTCTTGCAACGATGGCTGCCGCGTTACGTGTTTTCTGTTTGTACTTAAAAAAAACAACAACAAATAATCAATATAAATATTAGTGTTTTTCTTTACGCTTTATTGCAGCTTGAAGTACCCATTTTGTTGTTGTTTTTGTAGCTACTTAAAACCAAGCGAAAGTTTTTATCTTCTTTGCAACTTTCTAGGAGTTTTTCAGACTTTTCCCTAAACACCATATAAATTTTCATGTAATTCGCCAGAGAATTCCGCTCCCTTTTGCAAAGTAATTTTTCATTTAAAAGCGCATTTAAAATGATTATTTTGCGGTTGTTTGTTGAGCGCATGAAGGAAAAGGAAATGAAACGCGTAATTTGTGTGCGGTTCACAGCGGCTATTAAAAAAACTATTGGCGATTTTTAGTTGGCTTTGGTTTCGCTTTTTGCTATTTTGCTGTTTTGTGTTTTTTTGAGTTTTTTTTTGTTTTTTTGGCATTTTTGGTTGTTTACATAAAATGTTTTTTAATTTCATTTTCATTAGTCTCTGTAGCGTTGCAAAATGCGGCTAATTCAAACGAACAAGCGACCAGTTGATTGAACTCCACTTTTTGGACTCCTCATTTTGTCAATTTTCATTCATTTTCTTCCTCACCTCCCCTTCGATTTGATGGCATGTGATTAATTAAACGACGCTGACCCAAAGTCCAAAAAGGGGGGAGTTATGTAAGCGCTGGGAGCTTACATGATTTAGTTGAATTGGGAGGGGGGTCTACACTTAATTTGTGGCACAAGAGAAAGAAAGCCGGGCCAAAACTAATGATGCCAAAGTTGCAGGCGGGTCAAACCAAAACCAACAAAAAAAAGGGTTTACAAAAAATAAAACACACGCTGAAAAATCAGCTTGCAGTTGCGTAAAACTGTGCAACAAGCTGCTGCTGCCTCTGCTGCCGCTGCCCCTTGTTGTTGGCTGATGATGACGAGCATGTGACACGCCCCTCAGCCATTTGCAACGCCTCAATGCACAACAACAATATGTTGTGCGGGGGCATATTGAATACTTTTCAGACCGAGCGAGCCAAGCGACTCGCACTGAATTCGTAAAGCCAAAGCCAAAGTCAAAACAAATAAACGGAAGCCTCAAACGAATCACAAAAAAAAAAAAGATACTTGCAATTATCCAATGTGGCTGTTATTTCACTTATATTGCTGACGTCGTTAAGCATTTAGCTAACAAAAAAGAAAAACAGCAAAAAACACACCCATTTCGGTGCGGGTCAGTAAGGCAACAGCAACAGTTGGGTCAAAATGCTGTGAACAAGGCTGCCCAGCCAAGGGTTAATGCACAACCAGGAAGCATTTAAATAAAAACAAAACAAAAATCACCAAACGAACATTTAGCGGCATTTCACGACAACTCTTAAAAAGCTTGTATTTCCGCAAAAGAGTTTTGCTATTTTTTATTTTTTTATTTTATTTCTACCTTTGCCATTTGGTAGCTGCAACTTTCTCACGTTTGGCAACAGAGAAACATTTCCTGCATAATATATGCAACTGCACCTACGGCAAACCAGGCCCAACTTGAGCTGCATCAATTCCAATTCCATCTATCTCTCTCTCTCTGTGTCTCCAGTTAAGGCAAAATGTCACGCACATGAACTACCAACTATGGCAGTGTCGCCTGTAGAGTTGCTCCACTGTACGTCCGCCCTGCTCCCGTTATGCTTGCTGCTTGTTGCTTGTTGCTTGTTGCTACGGCCGCTTTTGGCATTTTATTTAGTTGCATGTTTCGATTTCACATTAGAAATGCTTTCGATCGTTTCGGTCTCCACCGAAAACGTGTCGGCCAAAAACAAGTTATAGCCAATCCATGCACATGCATTTGGCCAGCAATGCGCCGTAGGGTGCACCAAAAAAGAAAAAAAAAAAACAAATACAAAACGAAAAGTGCAATGCAACAAAAATACGAGAAAAATACAACAAAAACTGCAACGAAAGCGCGCAGAGAAAGTTTTTTGTGGCCAAGGCGGCATTTAAAAATTTTGTACGTATTTCTGAAGAAGAAAACAAAAAAGCAAAAGTGAAGCTGGAGCTGGAACAGCCAACACGTGAATTAGTGCCAATGAATTAATGAAAGTTTTTACTCAACTTGCTGTTGTTGTAGTTGTTGTTGTTGCTGCCTTTAGTTGTTGCTTTGATTTGTGTGGTGCGGAAATGATTCACAATTAGTCACAATTTGTATGCCAAACAATGACCAAGCTCGCTTTCAGGGCCAAATTTGTTGGAAGCAATGGCATTAAATTTAGCTGAGAATTAAGAGTGGAGTCTCTCACCCTCACCCTCCCCCTCCCCCCCTCTCTCTGTAATCCCCTCTCCCCTCTTCAATTCTTAACTTTCAGTTTTGCATTTGCAAACAATTCTGAGAAAAATTGGATTTCTATTTTTGCGCTGTGTCATATTTTTGTGAATACTTATATTATGTAAATTTTTTTTTCGCTGTGATTAGCAAAAATTTAAAATACAATTAGTTGTAGTCAACACTGGCGAAATTTTTCCCTGCTTTTTTTTGTATTAATTTGGACAATGCGCAACGTTGCGTATGATTGATAATTGTGTCAAAAAGGGGGATTTCATAACATTTGTAAGTGACACCATTAAAATCCAGTGAATTTTAGTCAATTTTAGTGCGCATTGTGTGTTTTTGTCATTTGTCAGGCCAGCCTTTTATCCGCTAATTAGCCAAGTTGACGGGCACAAAAGTCAGTTAGCTGCCCACTCGTGTTTGTTATTCACATTCAATTAAAAGTTCTAAAGAAAAGACATGCGATTCATTGAATCGCATTAATAGCTGACAAGTGCTTGCTGTCTGTATATATATACGTATATATATAAGTTCGCCACACTAATGAGTACTCAAACCGTATTCAATTGTTTGTGCTTAAAGTACGAGTATTATTACGAGTAATTAAAACTTGAATTTAATTCTACGGCAAATCATCCAATGGCCCAAAGCCAGTGGCCATGCACGGTAGCTGGTGGGAGCCTTGATGTTTTTGTCCAAGTGAAGGGCAATAACAAAAAAATAAGTAAATAAAGTTGGCTTAGAACCACTGCTCGTGGATTGTGTGTGATGATCAGTCAAATTGGCAGTAATTAAATTTCACATCAACAGTCAAACAAATTCTGGTAGCATGTTTTGAGCAAATATTGACATTAGTCACGGCTCATCTTGAAGATTAATAATTTTTCGTTTTCTTCTTTGGACATTGTGTAAGCACTCGAGTGTTAAGCTGCTTAGAATTTGGTATTGGCCAAATAAGAATCGGGAGAATTCTGTTGAATCAAAAGCGCTCGTTTTTTTTTTTTTTTTTTTTTTTGTGACTCGGTTTTGGTTAGCTTCGTGCAGTTGCCGCTGCCCAAAAACCAAATCGTGTCTATGGCTAAAATCAAATTAAAATTCCACAACGCATGCCAAGCAGCAACAGCAACAGCAACAACAACTTCGGTGACGATGGTCACAGCGGCAGCAATGGCAGCATAGCTAATGCCAAGAAGTGGCGCGGCCAAGTGGTTTGACGTTTGCCTGGCTTGCACCACCAGCACAAACACCAGCACCACCACAATGACAGCAATAGCGGCTACAAAAAAGCGATTGTGGCTAAGAATACACCGATGGCTTATTACACTTTGGCCACTTTGCTTTCCCTTACTCATTCTTTGTTTTCATAAATTTGAATAAAGATTTACTTCAAATAATCGAAGACTAGTCTCAGTTAAAAGCAAATTATCCCATTATTATTCTCCTATTATAGATAAAATCTTTCCAAATCAATTAAGATAGTCAACACTCCTTCAGTAAGGGTATTCCCCATAGGTAGGCACAGCAAACGCCCGCGTCTCGCAACACAGAGCAAAAATGGCAGTCGCAGTTCAAAGTTGTTGTTGCTATTTTGCCGTTGCTGTTATTGTTGGTGTTGCCATTGTTGTTGTTGTTGTTGTGGGTTCTGTTGAAGGCAGCAATGCGACGTGACGAGACGCCCAAATGGGGCACTGTTAAACAGTGTTGTAAAATACACTCCATCGAGCGTTATCCAAAATTCGACAAATTCAAATGCAAGAGTTAAGCAAAAAAAAAAATGAAATAACAAAAAACAATTGGCCAAAAGGCGGCAGCAGCGAGTTTTGTCTCTTGTTCTAGTCGCTGCACTGCGCTCGAGATGCCAGGCCTAACCTTGGCCTAAACTGCAAGCCAATGAACTAAATGCTTGTGAAAAAAACACAGCAACTGAAACAACAAACAGCAACAGCAACAGACAGCAGCGAATTGTGTGTTTGTGTGTGTTTGTTAACATTGTTGGTTGTGTTTTTTTTTTGGCAGTTTTTTTTAATGGCAACGTGAAAATTAAACAATTGTGCAAGCAGCCGCTTGATAATCGCCACAATGATTCATGGGCCTACAACAGAATGAGATTTGGCCAAAAAACACAACAACAAAAAACCCACTACCAAATGCAAAATGCACAATGGGCAGCTGTTTCGCTCAAGGGGCACAATAGCATAGCATAGTCGCCTCCAATTTGTGCTTAACTAATTACTCAGCTGCCTCAGCTGCCTCACGGCGCCAACATGTCAAGAGGCTACTTGGCTAATTGTGAATCAGTTCGTGCACAGTTCGGTCACATTATAAAACTATTTCTAGGCTAAATTAGACAGATTAATTATCTTTGGCCCACTGATGTTTAACAATATTATGAATGAATTTAATTAGACTCAAATTTTTAATCGTATAAGTGTCTGCTTTAAATGTGGGCAGGGCAGGGAATTTTGAATGAACTTAATTTGACTTTAATTTGTAATCTGCTTTAAAAGTGGGCAAGGCAGGGAATTTTGAATGAACTTAATTTTACTCTAGTTTTTAATGTGACTTAAATCAAATCAAGTTCATTCAAAACTCCATTTTCGTAGCCAAGACCCTTTAAAATGTTAAACCATGAAGTTAATATGTTTAGTTTTATTGCAAAATAATGCACAACTTCAAATTAAAGTTTTTTTTAGCTGAAAAACTCTTTGGGACTTCGTCTTTTAGTATGTATAATAAGTGAACTGATTGTTTATTATAAAGCGACACGCTTCAAATGCCGTCAAATGTACACTGGCAAGCTAAAACTACGAAAAAATCTGCAGAGTAATATGAAAATAAATCAGATTTTTAAATAACATTATTCGTTAACCCGAATTGCCTCCATTGAGCAATTGAATTGTGTAAAATGAGTTTCTGCTTGAAAATACAGCAATTTGAATGTGCTAAATTTGCTGTACGCAGGCAGGTACAGTGGCCAGGCATGGGTTAAAGTTGAGTAAGCGCTGATTTGCAGATATTTCAAAGTTGAAAAACTCTAGTCGAGTTAAGTTGATTAATAAGTGTTGATTTTCCAAACTACATTCCATGTATATATATATTTTTTGACAGCTTTTAAATGCGTTCAACGTTGCGCAACAGAATATTTAATAATTTATGCTTGGGTAGCGAAAAACGCACCACTTAACTTGGCTGAAAGGCGACCCGCCTCTGTTGGGCAGTTGTCAAGTTGGCCATCGAATTGAAACCAAACTAAACAGAACTCGTTTCGGTTTATGTGTTTTTCTGTTTATTTAGCGCTTTTGTTTGGCGAACGCACAATGTTTATTTTTCCCCACTGCCAATTCACAATCGAGATTGTGTTTTATTTTTCCAATCGCGTCACGATTCTGGCATCAAGTATCCGACTGCGACTTGGTAACAAGAACCTCGAGGAGCTCTTAAGCGTTGCGTACTAATCGTTGCCCCACTCTCTGCTCTCTCTCCTCTCTTGCAGATGTGGTTGCCGAGAAGCCGACCACTTATCGACCCGCTGGCGGCGGCAATCGACCCTCGATTGCACCACACAATTCGGCGCAGGAGCGTGAACGTAAATTGATGAATGTTTTGGCGGCTCGTCGCTCCGCCTTGCATCGTGGTGGTTTTCGCACGCGCATCGGCACCACCGGCCGCAGTGCCACATCGCCGGCAGCTGCTGCTGCTGCTGCTGTGGAGAGCACCTCGAAATCACCGAGTGATCCACGCACAGTTTGCATACGCAATTGCACCAAGAATTTCACACGCCGCACCACCGCCAGCTGTATGCGACAATGCGCCAATTTCACCCGCATGGCAATGGCGGGCAGCATAGCCAACAACAACAGTTCGGTGGTGCTGCGTGCGCCCAGCAAGGCCAGTGTTTCCACCGGAGAACGTGATACCAACGAGATTCTCTTCAGCGACGAATCGTCGCATGGTCTCTTTGTGGTGGCCAAGGAACAGAATGATACCCTCAACCACATTGCAGATGTGGCCAAATCTGCGGTGGTGGCCAAGCAACGTGGTCGTGTCAAGCCAGCGGTGGTCAGCGTTACACTTGCACCCACCTCCCTGGAGGATGAGGAGGAGGAGGAGCTGGATGATAATGATGGACTGCAGCCTTATCTGTATTTTGGTGCCAAGTTGCCGCCAATTAAGCCGGGCGCCTTGACCATCACAGCAGCCGCTGGCGATGACCAGCATCCACGCGTACTCGAAGTCTCTGTCGGCAGCAGCACCACTACCACAACCACTGCATCGCCGCTGGAGTTGACAGCACCACCCACCATCTCCACGCGTCGTCCGCTAACCGCTGTGGAGCGTAGTCGCAGCCGCTACAAATACCACATGCGTGAACGTGGTGTGGTGCCCACCACTGCATCACCCATCAGTCGTACACGCTATGTGGGCTCTGGTCGACCCACAGCGGGTCTAACGGAGACTTCAGTGGAACAAAAGAGCCAGCCAGAGACGAGTCCAGAGCTGGTCAAACCTGTCGTAGTGCGACGCTTGGCTGCCAGCAAACCACAAACATCGTCGACACCACTTATCATCACTGTGCTGAGCGCGGAGGAGGAGACAACTGTGTTGCAGCCTGAACTAAAAACGGAGAGCTCAACCACCACGACAAGTACATCAACAGCGAGTACCACTACCAGCACTACTAGCAGCAGTACCACCACCACCACAGCGATACCTTTGACCACCAGGAAGCCAACGACAAGTAGCACAACAACAGCAACAACAACGACAACAACCACAACAACAACTACAACCACACCAACTCCTACGACAAGCACAACCACAACCACAACAACTACACCTACACCAACCAGCACATCCACCTCAACCACTCAACCCGTGCAGAGCAAACCCAAAACCATCATTGAAGAGGATACGGAAAGATTGCGCGCCTTGGGTCCATCTCTGACCAAAGAAATCAACATTGAGGATCAGAATAATTTGATAATCTTTTGCAATAGCACCGCCAACTGTGAGGCACCACGCACCACCACCGACTCCAGCTCCAACTCAAAGATACTACGCACCACTGTGCTAAGTTCGGTGCGTTCCACGGTCAATCCACGCACCACCAGCAGCACAACAACAACAGCAGCACCAGCACCACCAACAACAGCTGCCACTGGCAATATTTATATAGGAATTGTGGAATCTTCTTCGACTTCCTCTGCGGGTCCAATGGACATCAGTTCCACAGCGATAGCAGATGATCGGGATGTGGGCTTGGAGATGCGGCGCATGAATCTGGTCACACTGGTGCTGGTGGCGGTGGGTGTGGTGCCACTCGTGGCCATTGTACTCTATTTGGTGCGCAACTATTTGGTGCGACGCCAAACCAAACAAGATGATGTCTTTGACATTTGCATTGCCGATCAGCTGCCGATTAGCCCGGTCAAGAAAGTCGACTCCAAGTATCAGCTGGAGCACGACGAAGACGAGGTGGATCATCATCAGCAAACCATGCCTATTTCTAACGCCCAGCAGCAGCAACAGCAGCAGCAGCAACAACAACAGCAACAACACATCAGGGACACCAATCACAATCGTTATGAGGACAAAACTTCGCTGGCCAGCGAATTTCATGAATTTGATCGCAGCAATATCCGTTTGAAGAGTCTGCTTGGTGAAGGCAACTTTGGGCAGGTGTGGAAAGCGGAAGCGGATGACCTCAGTGGTCATTTTGGTGCCACACGCATCGTTGCCGTCAAAACAATCAGAGCCTGCAGCGCTCAGGTTAGCCTCAAGGATGAGGCAAGCATTATGCGCAAGCTGGGCTCCCATCAGAATGTGGTCACCCTACTGGGTGCCTGTGTCGAAAGCGGTGCGTAATGAAGTTGTCGAAATTTGTATTTGTATACCCTGCAATTAGTTTTAATAGGTAGAAAGGAAGATCCCATCAACTAAACTATAACTTTGTCAAAATATATGGCCTGAGCTTCCCCACGCCATAACTTTATCAAAACTTAACAGATTTTCAAAAATCAGGTTTTTTTTAACATGTTTTGAACTCTAGGTTAATTCCACATATCAAGTTGGAAACGTGATTCTAATGCGAATTTCATGTTCAATATACCAGAACTTTCCAGATTAAACCTGACTTCTCCATAACCCCAAATGAAAACACCTCAACTAGATTACTCCCACTATAATTTTGCTAATCTCGACTTGTAAATATTTGTATACAGAGCCCCATATGATAATTATGGAGTATGCGATGCGAGGACGTCTTTTATCCCTGCTGCGGGCAGCTCGAAGTGCAACGAATATTCTGCCGGCATCGGTGCCGGGTGGACGCAGTCTGGCGCCGCTCTCGCCGCGCACCTTGGCAGGCTTTGCTCTGGACATTGCCTGCGGCATGGAGTACATTGCCGGGCACAGGGTGAGTAGAGAGACTCCAGTGAATATCAAAATATCAGCAATATTAATCCACCCTTTCACAGATTGTGCATCGCGATATGGCGGCACGCAATGTGCTGCTGGACCACAATGGCATGTGCAAGATCTGTGATTTTGGCATGTCCATTGATCTGGATGCGGAGCGGATGCGTAAGGAACAGGAGAAGAATGCCGCCAACGATATGCTGCGCAGCAATGCGCAAAAGTTTAAGTTCGACTTTGGCAGTCGCTACATTCTGCAGCACTGGCAGCACACCTTCGGCCAGACTGGCCAGCACTGCTCCAAGGATCAGGCGCACTCCGAGAAGAAGTCGCATGGCCACGACACGATTGGCAAGCGGCATGCACTTCCCATACGCTGGATGGCGCCGGAGAGTCTCCAATTTCACATGTTCACCACCGAAACGGACATCTGGGCCTTTGGCATTGTCCTCTGGGAGATTGCCACGCTGGGTAGGACTATATTTTATTAGCTCTGTTTCCGATTGAGTATCTATTCAAGATTAGAAACTTGAAATGTTTATGAGCAGTCCACGTTAAATAATTTATAGAACTTATGATAGCTTGATCTGACTTGATTTCCATGACATAGCCATAGCAAGCTCTTTCACAAATCTTTTCCACTTATCCTGCAAAGATCTTATTTGATTTTTCTGGCACACTCAACGAAAACTCTTTCCCAACTCTTTTCCACTCATACTGCAACGATGTTACTTGGTTTTTACTAATTACTCCATACTCCTAGGCTCCACGCCGTACTCTCACCTGACGGGACGGGAGGTCATACGCCGTGTACCACAGGGCCAGCGACCGGAGCTGCCCAAGGAGAGCCGGCACGAGTTCTACAATCTGATGTCGCGCTGCTGGCACAAGGATCCACACATGCGACCCTCGTTCGCGCAGGCGCGTCTGGAGATCACTCGATCGCTGCACAAGTGGGTCGACGATGATTCCGCCGCCTCCGACTATATGGACGTCAGTGGTTTCAGCGAGGATCTCGAGCATGGCGTTGTCTACTTCAATCATCGTATTTCGGAGTTCGAGTGCGAGATATGACGTTGACTGCAACACCCCCACCCACACCACCAACCTCAAAAAAAAAAAACGAAAAAAGAACAGCACCACCAACATCACATTAGCATCCAATTACAAACCACCACTTCGCCATTGCCAACCAACTAAATAATGTATATGTAGGATCAGGCTTATTCGCATACCCCAAAATTCATATTAATTCGAAATTCGCGTGCTTGTCGAGCAGTATTATTTGTATCTTCTATCTTTGTATCTATTCTCCCCTCGTACGTTTTCGGTTGCCAGCGGCTTTTTGCGAGCTCTTTTGTATATATATATTTATCTATATATATTTGTTTTTGCGTATGCAATTGTTTATTATGATTTACCATTTAGGCTGTATATTTAATGAATGGCGCTACTTGTGCTTAGTTGATATTAGTCAGTTAGTTCTTCTAGTCTGTATCTAAAATTCATTTTCCCACATGTTGAGCCGCTTTAACCTTAACCGTAGTCTTTAGTCCAGTTGACTGCACCGCAATATGGCACAAAAGTTTAGTTTTTGATATATATGTATATATATATGTATCTCTATAGAATATATACGCATACGACTTAATTTTATTGTTATCTATATAGAAATACATAATTGTACAAAATAAATTAAACACAAAATATATAATAATTATAGTTACACCAAAATGAATTTTCTTTTATTTAATTGCGGGCTAAAAAAGTACAAATTAAAAATATATTTTTCAGTTAATTTAAATATAAGTTTTATAAATTCAATAATGGCCCAAAATAACAAGATTCAACATTTTGTTATCTTTTTCTGCCTAGCTGGCAACGCTGTTTACTTGCCTATAAGGCTGCCACCTTCCAACATTTTTTAACTAGCTGGCAACCACAAACTGGTTCCGTTTTTTGCTGTTGGCTCTTTTGAGTTAGCCCCAATTTGAAAGCCGTTAAAAAACTTGAATCAAATTCAAACATTTATCGACTTCAGCTCAGTCGAGCGGAATAATTATAGCCGAAGTTTAATTACCTTGAGGAATCGCCATCGCGGAAGAAGCTGGCATCATTAGTGCCAAGCATATTCTAAACTAGTCTCAATGCATAATTAAGCATTCGGCATGCATTTAGACTGCATATTAATGAGCAAATGCTTGTTGAAGTTCACTTATTTTAACCACTATTGCACAATTGAGGAACTGAGATAATGATGTCATCAATCAGAGGATAAAAATGATAACTGCTGCTAACAACAATAACAACAATGCTTGACAGTAGATTGCAAATAAGTATTGTTGATTGTTGGTATTTTTTTTATGGCCAATGAAAATGGTTAGCGGAAAAGTTTTCTTCGCTGAAAAGTCACTTGACTCAAGCTGATTGATGACGCTGCAATAAAATAAAAAGCCAGCGATGCGATAACATGGTTAAATGTGCGTATGTGGCTTAAACAGCTGAAACGCATTGCGTGAAAAAAAACGAAATAGAAAAGAAAATGCTGCCGTTTTGCCACTGTGGTTAACCAAGAAAGTGTGAAGAAGGAAATTTTGAGTGGTCATTGAAGTGTGGAGCAGGTGCGAACTAAAGCACAAGTCTTTAATCTAATTTGGGGACCCCCCTCCCCCTTTAAATGATAAAGAAATAACCATAAAGTGCACAAAAGCGAAACACCCCTAAAGGCGAACATTAATCGTGCAATAACCGCAAAGAAAAAAGCCAACTAAATATGCCGTTGCAGTTGGCAGAGGCGCTAACTGTGCAGTTAAACTCTTGGCCCGCGGCTATTTTGGGCAAAACGAAAGTTTGGCAGCTTGTTTGCCAAATTGATTGACGCTTGAACCCTGACGAGGCGCGAGGCTGATTGAATATGATTGAATATTGCAGCCAGCTAACCTGTTTAGCCAAATAGTTATAGCTATCGGCTATTTATCTATGCAAATTGGTTTGGGCTTCCGTTAGGGCGCACGAACTGTGTTTGCTTCCTGACCCACTCCAAAAAAAAAAATGAAAAAGAAATAAAACAAAAGACTTAAGACACGAACTTTGTAATGAGGCGTGGATAAAGGCTTCCGCATTACGAGAGCGCTCTTTAACAAATTATGATATGTTGAATTAAATTCCAACTAACGGTTCAGCGAACTGTATTGAGCAGCACAAGCAGTAAAGGCAGCAAAGGCAATTAGACAATTGGCAATTTTAATGCAAACACGTCGCGGCCACAAATTGCAAGCAGCCAAAGGCAGAAGAACCAGCAGTCAGCAGCAGCAGTAGCAGTTAAGCCAGAGACTGAGACTAAAACGGAGGCCGTTAACAGAAAACAGTCGGCGGCGAGTGTTGAAAGCGTTAAGACGTGCAAGCTGGCAAAGCTGTGCACAAGGCAAAACAATTCAAGTTCAAGTTTTGCTCTACTCTCTTTCTAAACAGATCTGGTGTTCAACTCTCTCTCGCGCTCTCTTTCGCTCGCGGCGAGAAGTAGAAAATCGCAGCTAAAAGCTGCTAAATTAAGGCGCGTGTGAAATCTGAGAAAATTTGCCTACCCATCAACAGCAACAGAGTGGTAGACATAAAAAGTGAAAATTAGTCGCTTAAAGCGTTTGACAATTCTTCGGCTTGTTTACCGAACAGCAAATAAACGGGCCAAGGCGATACTGATACAGATATAGATATACATATACATAGTGATACCGATACCGATATCGAACCGAAGGTGATTTCTTGAGTCGCAATCTTTTTGGATAAAAAAAAATTAAATAAATTAATCATAAAACGCCAAGGCACATCGTAAAAATCGAAAATGGAATCTTTAAATATGTGAAATGGAAACAACTTTCTAAAAGAAACACACAAAAACTCAAAAACAAACAACAACAAACAAAAGTCTCTGACGACGTATCAAAAAATTTGAATTCTTCTTTTTATTCTTCATTCTTCCAAGAAAATTGTGTCAACTTGTTAAGCTCTCTATGTGAGTGTGTGTGTTGTGTACGTGTTATATTTGTTGTTGCGTTTATTTTTTTTGTTTACACTGCTGTGCATAAGTGGTGTCAAGTTCGTTGCCCAAGTCTTTCGTTTAGGGCCGACAAATTGAATTCCAATTGTTTGGAATTTTTGCCGTTAGCACGCAAAAACAATAATTTAATGATGATTTTGATGGAAACGGACAGATAGAGAGACAGACAGATAGACAGACTGACAATCAGTTCGATCTTGTAAAGTTGTCTAGGTCGTTTTGCGGGTTCTGCGCTTACTAGGTTAGTCGGTTAGTTGTTGTTGTTGTTGTTATTATTGCGATATTGTGTCTGCTTAGAGGATTCTGTTCGACAAGCGACTTTCTTAGTTGCTGCTGTTTCTCTCATTGCAACGCTTTAATTTGCTTGAAGTGTTTATGTTCTTTTTCGACTGGCCTCATTGCAAAGTTTTTCAGCGCAACGCACGCGAATTATAAGTTAATTAATGTTACCGAAGAATGTTAGAGTGCAGTGAAATTGCATTCAAATACAGCATCTCAAACCGAAATTCATCTCTCCATGTTATGTTTTAGCTGTATGCACTTTTACTTAAACGTGGGCGCCTGTTTGCATTTGTTCGCGCCTGGGAACCAAACATAGTCATGTGGGAGCCATGTATAGGCTTTGATTGGTTTAATTTGATTTATTGCAACATGATGGCGCTTTCAAAACTTATGCCCATGCATGCACATATGCAAAAGGCGCCTGCTGCATCGAATACCAGAAGCGCTTAGGTCGGCCTTTCTTTCTCTGTGGCGCAGGTGTGCAAAATAAATTAAATAAATGGCAGCATCTTCACGACCTGAAGCCAAGTCCCGAGCTGTAAGCGATGCGCACAAATCTCAGCTAGTTGCTGGCAGCTTTGCCTGCTTGCCTATCTGCTTTCAGCATTTTATTTACGAGTATATATATTTTTTCTTTTTTCTGTTAAGTCTTTGCTTCGTTACTATAAATGTCGCCTTGCTGCCTTTTCTAAACTGTCAACCAGTCGATAGATAATAGATAAAGCCAAACCGGCGGCTCGTTTTCACTTTTCAACTGATGCTGCTGCTGATGCTGCTGCTGATGCTGCTGCTGCTGCACCAAAGGTCAACTTCTTCAGTTGCATTTGCAGCTGCAGTCTACCTCTCGGGCCATCCTCCACGTCTTCTGGGTGTAGCCATCATTTGATTTTGTAAGCCATTCCATGACATTGGCATTCACAAGTCGCTGTTGCACTTTCCATTGCAATTGTTTGCATTCCGTGGGTGCCGCATGCTCATTTGCATTGTCAGACGACATCGCCACCTACCCAAAAAAATTCAAAATAAATACTACGAAATCGAAGTAGATAAGTTCCAGTCGAGTGTACGAGCGTGTCTAGCTTAATAATCAGGAAATCAGCTCGGTTTTTTAACCTCGAGAATGCAGTATTCAATGTGTTTACACTGTGCAAAAAAGCTAAATCTACGATTTGTAGTCTGCAACTCTTGAAACTCGCTCATTAAAAATGGGTAAAAGGGTATAATTAAGTTGTGCAAAAGCCTGTGACAGGCGCAAGAAAGCATGCCCGAGCCCATGAAGTATATATATAAAGTATATAAATATACATTCTTGATCACCATAAAACAACAGTCGACTTACTCATATACATGTACATCTGTCTGTCAATGTGAAAGACTTTTAGAGATAGAGGCTGATGTGGAATATAGATTATCTAGATATATAGATACAGTTTACCATTTTATATATAAAGAGGCTATGACATATTATTTATTATTATTATAGTGTAAACATTTAGTTAAGGTCGGCTAGGTAGTTCTTTTATAGTTCTTGTTTTACTCAGAGAACCATTATAAAATATTTATTTTTGTTAGTTAATCAGTCGATTACCATCTTCACAGTCAGTGTCGAATTAAGCGTAATTGTCCGACAGCCGGAGGTGTTAAAGTATATCACATATTCGTGGCTTAATCCAAAATCTTTACCGTTCAACAAGGGTATATTTTCTTTTGTTCTGCATTCTTGTTATAATTACTGTGCCAAGTTTAATTAATAAGGCTTTAAGCCTGACTAGTACCAATAGGTACTAATATAGGGCTATATCGCCTTTGTTTCTTTATAAGTGTCATAATTTTCTATTGTTAGTGTTATAATTAGTTCTGAGCGTAACTTAACAAGAAAATTATAGTTCTAGTTAACAATTGTTATGCTCCCATACACAAGGTATTTTTCAATGGCGGGATCAAAGCTTGCACTGGCTATCTGCGTTATGAGTGAAAAACGACAGCAGCAGCAACAACGACACTTATGAGTTGTTTGGTGCTTCACGCCTTGTTGAGCGGGCGAAGATGACGTTGGCCACAATGTGGCGATGTCTATGGGTATGACCATCTCCATGGCAATGGCGATTACCTGGAGCCGTGGTAGTGACTGCTGTTGTTGCTGCTGTTGCTGCTGTAATAGCCACTAGCATGACTTGATTATGATTATATGGCTATGACTTTGCCACTGACACCGAATGTGGTGGTGTTTTTGGCATGACGGTGGCTTAGTGGTGCTTACATATTTATTACGATTGTTAATGCACATGCTAATGGCTTTTTGTTTTTTTTTTTTACTTTCGGTGGAAAGGCAGAAGCAACCAAAACCAAGTCGAATGAAAGCAAAAGTTTGTTGCCTAAGTCTTTCGTTTAGAATGAGCAGTGGTTGCTTGAAAGCGTGCGACAACAAATTGTTTTGTTTTGCGTGTGTTTTTTCGGTTACAGCTGTTGCTTTCGAGTGTTTATTTTTGTATGATTATTTTTATTTCTGGCAATTTTAATTGCGTCTTAATAACTGCAATCTGACCGCCCATTTTCCCATCAACTTTCGTTTCAGCGTCAACAGAAAACAAAAAACCAAAAACAATAAACGAAAATGAAAGCGGGCCGCGCTTTTGGCTGCCTCTTTTGGGCGTTGCTCTATTGTGTGCTTTATTTGGATTTGGTCAACGCCAGCAGCGAGGATGAGCTAATGGATTTCGATTTTGCCGAAGCTGCTGTCAAAGACGGCGACTCAACAGCTTCGCTAGAGGACTGGCTGCTGGATGATGACCAACAGCAGCAGCAGCAGTCGCAGCAGGCGGAAAAGAAACTCGAGGACAATATGCTTGATTTTAGTGTGGATCTGGATGAGCCGGAGCCGGAGAAGCAGCTGCCCCAATTTGATTGGCGTGAACGGGTGCTGCGCACTGCCTTGGCCAAGGCCTTAACGGATCGGGCACAGCGCCAGAAATTTGCCGAAGTGATGCCCATTTTGCGTGTTCTATCCTCACAGCAGCGGTTGGCACTCTCCGCCCTCATCTCGGCCCAAATGAATGCCAAGCAGGGGCATGAGCTACGACTGGAGCAGGTAATTCAATTGAATACACTTCCCTTATCACTCTTATCAAATATATAAATATATGTTACTCTTGCCAGGTTCGCATGATGTTTGGCAATGATCGCAAGCTGCTGCTACCCGTTGTCTACGATCTGGCCAACCTGGTCAAGAGTTCAGCACGCAAATACATCAAACTGGGCAGCGAGATGGCAGCGGCTGCCTTGCGCCGCAAAGATGAGCTAACCGTCGAAGAATCGGAGCAGGATGATAGCGTGGGCACCATTGATGTGAGTGGACAGGCTGAGGATGGTCTGGAGGACTTTTTCGATGAGATGCAAGCGGAGGTGCTCGATCCACAGATGATCAATGAGGCACTGCAACAGGCGGACAATCCACCGCCCACCGCCAGTTTCAACTCCAGTGCGACTTCGAGTCGTGTGCGTCGCTCTGCCAATGAATTTGTGCACAAGTTGACACGCTCGGCGCCCATTTCGGTGTCGGAGCAGCAGTTGTTGGGTGGTGCAGCTGGACGCACCATCAAACTGAATACGACTGCCTTTCAGCAGCCCAGCGTTGCAGGCACACAGCAGCCAAGCACCGCCAGCAGCACTAGCACCACTACAACCACCCTGATAGTAACGCCAACTCCATCTTATGAGGAAGTTGAGAATCTGGCTTTTGCTGGTCTAAATGGCACCGAGTTGCCTTTGGGTGCCATTGATCGACAATATCAGGTGGGTGGTGACAACAGCAGCGCTGAGGAACCACTGCCCAATCCCGAGGAACTCATCGCCGGTCCGCGTTATCGCCTCAACAACCACAAGCGTCCGAGTCAAAAGTTGCCTGCCATTAAGCGCAAACGGGTGCAGAGTCCATCGTATGGCCGGGGACGACCCAAAACATCGGCCAGCTCTCACAATCCGGTGGTGCTGCCCACGCACAAGAAATGCGAAAGATTTACGAACAATATGTGCATACGCACCGACGACTATCCGCTGTAAGATCCACTTCGTTAGCTTGTTGGTTTCCCGGTTCCCGTTTATCCTTCCACAACTTCTTTAAACTAGTTTAGTTTAGTTTTAGTCACGAATTTTAGCTAAAAATAAAAATGTAATTTATTTATTTACGGTTCACCTGCTCCTATTTAATTGCACACTCACATATTTATACACTTGGTGGTTTCGGTGGTTCATACACACAAACACACACACACACACACATTGCATACAGTTAAACCCACTCTTCACTTTCACAGCGAACAGATCATGGGCAGCATTCGCCGGCACAAGAATGCGATGAGTGCTCTTCTCGCCGAGTTCTACGACAAGCCCAACAACAATCTTGAGTTTGGTGATGAGTTCGACGATTATGTGACCAACAAAAAGCGGTGAGTGAAAGATTGAAAGATTAAACCAAACCAAAACTATTTAATACCCCTTTTCTTAGGCGTGAGGATGAGGGCAGCGCCGGTGGCATGTGCCAGAGTGTTGTGCGTTATGCCCGCCCCCAAAAAGCCAAAGCCGCCTCGGGTGAATGGAAGTTCATTGTGAATACGGGACAGCACACACAAACTCTGCGCCTCGAGAAATGCAGGTGAGCCACATTTATGGGTTAGAAATGTAGTTTTATTCATTGCTTCATTGTGTTCAAATTTTGTCACACACTTGTTGTGTCTTCAAAAAGAAAGAGTTTATCAATTCATGAACTTACGTAAGGAAATTACACTATTTAGCTCACTGGCTTGTTAGTTACGCTATCACCCATCATCATCATCATCATCATCATCATCAACAGCGGCAGCAGCAGAAGCATCGCTATTAAAATTAGTTTCGTTTCATAGTTTCATTTAAACTAAATCAGTTTGTTAACGCTTTGGGGCTTTCTTTTTGTGTTTTTTATTGCATCAAAGCCATATATTAACCGAAAAAATCAGAAGAACGGATGAGCCCAATATTTTTGGCGCCATTACTTTGTGTATATTAAAATTTCCACACTTATTTGAAAGACGCCTTCGGTGGAAACTTATATAAATATTCTACCATAGATAATCTCATTTAAGCATGGAACCCAATTTCCGTTTGACATAAATATGTCAAAACTAATCAGATTTTTTAATGATAGCACACTTTGAAACTGTGAAAAAAATCTCACAAATCCTAACCCAAAAAATTAACTATGCATCTGGGTATAAACTTTCCACAGCCATAACTTTGTCAAAAGTTGGTCTGTAGAATAATCCTGCATTTACAGATGAATGAATGTTTCTGCTTTGAAATTTTTGTTTCCAATTGTAGCCAAAAAATTTGCATTTGGACATGGGTCTAAATTTTCCATAGCCATAACTTTGTCAACGCCTAATTGATTTTTAAAAGCAAGGGCGTTTTAATCATGGGTTGGCCTCTAGATTATGTCCACATTTAAATTTTAAATTGTGATTATTAGTCGAAACTAGTTTGAAAATTCTGCTGCTTTAATTTTTTATCAGTTAAGTTATTTTTACTAATAATACTCGATTTATTCACAAGCCATCTGCATATCATACAACAATAATATAAGCTGCAAGCTAGCACTAGTTATATAATGTCAAATGATTCTTATTCTAACAATTATTTCATTGCTCGATATTATTGAGATACTCCAATTCATTCTTAATTATAATTCTAAGCTGCTTTTCAAAATTCTAATGATTTCTCTAATTTGATTTGTAGTAATCCTGGGGATAGCTGTTCGTATCTGGCGCAGACTTATCGCTCGCACTGTTCGCAGGTGTACAACTATCATCGACTGTTGAGTTGGGACAAGGTGCGTGGATTGCATGTGGATATATTTAAGGTGCCCACCTGCTGCTCGTGCCAGGTGGATGGCTATCGCCAGCAGTTCCCACCACTCTCCACCATACAGGCCAAGGATTATACGCCGATAAACAATTATAAGCTCGATAATGGCTATAGCACCATCAATGAGGAGGATCTCGACTATAACGATGAGAGCGATGAGGATGATCTGGGCTTGAGTTATTCACCATACAATCATCATCGCGATACGAATGAGTTGAGTTATTTGGCCAGCAAAAAGGTGCGCTCCAAGCTGCCACTGCCCTCCAGTGTGGGTCCCTATTTGAGTCCACCCGATGATGACAATCACTTTGGCAGCTATAAGCCCGCTCACAAGAGCAGCAGCAGTTCCAGCTCCATTTCCAGTTCCAGCTCCCCTTCCAGTTCTAGTTCGAAAAATTATTATCAACATTTGAGCCGCCGGCGGCCGCAGCAACACAATGAGCCACGTGTCGATGTGGATCTGAGTCTGGATTTGGCTGGCAGCGAGACGCAGTCGGAACAAGAGGTAAACGTATTTGGGCAGCAACTGCTGGCTGGGGAACAGCCGCAGCAGCGGGTGCCGATCAAGCGCAAGCGTATTTATAGCTCCACACCCACCCACACAGCCACCACCACCACTGGAGGAACAGCACGCTTACCCATACAGCACGTATCCCACAAACCACAGACCACAGCAGCTGCAGCAGTCCCCAGTAGTGGTAGCCTACCAGCCCGAACAGGAGCTGCAGCAGCAGCAGCAAGTGGTGGTGCCACCTATGCCCATGAAGCAGCCGGGTCTGTTGCATCCGGCGCAACTGCACCATCTGACGCTGCCTTCCACCCGGGTCAGCGGATCAGTCACTATGCCAACGGCGAGAAGCCGCGACCTCGCTTCTATGCGCCCCTCCCGACGACGCCCGCTGCTCCAGTCACGATCCCAGCTGGCGCAGCGACGCCATTATTATCACCATCCAGCAGCAGCAGTACCACCACAGTCCAGCAGAAGCAATCGACGCCACAGTTTTCACAGCCAGCATCACATCTAAATTCCATCTACAGCAATAGTAATCATCATAACAATGGCAGTCGTCGCATCAACTACAGCTATCATCCTATCATTGATTTCTTTGAGCAGCGCGCCAACAGCCGGGTGGATCAGCACCAGCAGGAGTTTGTGGTGGGTGCCACACAGCGGGTGGAGCAACGTTATCCATCTACGACGGCGTCCAAGGGCAACTTTCAGCAAACGTTTCCAACGGCCAACGAGCGCCGAATGGGCTTTGGTGCTGGTGGTGGCGGTGGTGTTGCCAGTGGTGCTGTACGTTATGGCTATGTCAATGATAATGCTTGGCAGCCGCTGGTTGTGGATCACTAAACAATAATATTTGCAAAAGTCGCATGCTTTCACCTCACCTTTCTCTCATTCCTTTCTCTCACTTGGAGCCTTTTCTAACAATTGCTTGCAGCAGTTTTTTAATTGTATTAACTATGGTTTAGTCTGTAGTCCTAAATTTGTCTAGTTATTTGCAACTGTATGACGTAATAATGCCTAATCTTACCTAAACTTAATGTTTAACAAAAAGCAATACATTTAATTATTTATTTATTTATTTGTAGCGTGTAGCAAAGAAAAAAAATACAAAAAAAATACAAAGTGTGAGAAGCGGTTTAGAAATAAAATACAAATAATTTATAAAAATTAAAGAAACAAAATTAATTTATTTATATTTCTGACTTTTTAGCAGAGATTTTACCTAATTGAATCTTACCTTGTTTTTCTAATATTTCTAAAAATTTAAATGCGTCTCTTATTTAACGTTTATTTTGCTGTGTTCCATTTCCAAGCGTTTCGCTTGTTGGCGTTCCGTAGCTGTCAGCATTTGCAAGACACCGCTTAGGCGGGCATTTTCAAATTCTTGCCACTCATTTGAAATGTTGCTCGTGATTTACAATTCAAATGCATGATGATAGTGATTTATAATTTTGTGTTGTTTGGGCTTTCTCCGCAGCAACCCAAATTGGCAAACAAAACAAAGTTCAAGTTTGGGGTCAGCCTGCTGCCTACTAATGAGATATGAACTTCAAATAAACACACATTTTTCTATAAATTAATTTCAAACGTGTTTTGTGGCTGCAGTCATTGTTGATATGTGCCAAAACACAAGAGACGTTTGCATATGCAAAGTGGGTTTCTAAATCGAAAACGCGGCTAGAGAAAAGGGGTCACAGAGAGGACGACGACGGCGGCGTCTTTGACCGGTTATAACATTGAATGTTGGCTGCATTTGTTGTGTGACTTTGCAACGTCATCTGGAGTTGCATTTTGGCCAGTTTCGCTTTCATTGAAGACAACGATGACGACGACGACGACGACGACGATGAAAACGAAGTCTTTGAAAAAGACACTTCGTCATGGCTGCTGCTGCTGTTGGTGGTAGAGAGAAAGAAATGGCAGCCCAATCAAATGCCGGGAAGGGGAGGGACGGCGACCATAAACTGGAAAAGTTGTGCAAAAACACTAAGAAAATTTTATAAAGGCGCAATGATATCAACATTGGCAACGCAGTTGTTCATCAGCCGTCGACGTCGTTGTCCGAAATTGCCTAGCCTTCAGAAAACTGCACAAAACTCCACAAAAACCGCAGCGCGAAAGTGAAAAGCAATTGAGTTTAATTTTTATTGGCCTTGAAAGTGAGAGTAAATGGAATGGCGCCACAAGTTAGCTGCCTATTTCGACTGTTATTCCTGCTGCAACTGAGCCTAACTCTAAGCCTAAGAATTGACACTGCGCAGGAGTCAAGAAGCAATGTCAGCTTGCCAATTTATCGCGTCTCGCGTCCTGAACTCAAACAGCCCGTAAAACGTGTCCCGCAACATTTGCAGGATATACGACCCGGTTTCGTGGATGATGATGCTGGCGATGTCATCCGCATCATTGAGCCACCCCCGCACTTTCAGCAGCTCAAGCGCTTGAGGCAGAGGCAGCCACAACAGCCCTCAACAGCCGTTGTTTGGGAGCAGCCACGCAAGCTGAGCACAAATCGTGCAACACCTACAGCACCAGCTCAGCAGCGACCCAAGCTAAATCTGAAGCCAGTCAATGCAGATTTGTTGACGCAGGAGACACAGAACCATTTGCAGTTCCCCATGGAAATACTTGCCTCGGTGCGTAAAACGGAGCGTTTGTTGCAACGTCAGCGACAGCAGCAGCCACCAGTCGTCAGACAGCGCCACATACAGCGCCAGACACATACGCTGATTGGCCAGAAATCGCTGGAGCAGCAACGCTATCAGCGGGAACAGCAGCAACGGCTGCGTGCAACAATCAGCCAGGAGCACAAGCGGAGCAAGCGGGTGAAGCGGCAGACTGATGACTACAATATGGCACAGGGCTTAAAGCTGGTGGCGCATATAGATGAGTTGCTGCAGAATGCCACACGTTATCTGCCCGATGAGCTGGAAAAGCATGAAACAACAACAACAACGCCGGTAACAACAACAACTACGACAACGACAACACTTAAATCCAACTCAAGCAACTATGACAAAAATCGGCAACGTCGCCAGCGGCTGTTTAAGCTGCAGGGCGCACTTAAAAAAACGACAGCGAGGCGAGGGCGCAACTTCCGCCATGAGGCAACCACAACAACAATGACAACGGCAGCAGCACCAGCTGCAACAACAACGACAGCAACAACATCTGCCGAATCAACTTCCACATTAAGATTGACTTCCGCAACTCCGTTGGCCAGTCGGCTGGTTAACTCACGCAAATCCGCAAATAAACGCAATCATCTGCAGCAGTTGCCCTCATCCCGCAGCGATGATTCCGTGCTCTATGCGGATGTAATGTTGAATATATATAATTTGTGGCAGGAGCACGATGTTGCCACCGCACAGTTCGTTGCCCCGCCGCATAATAATAGCGACTATCGTGAATTGGATGTGTATCTCAAAGAGTTGGATGCCATTGCCAAAAAGTTGCCCAGTGTCTCGCCCATAACCTCATTGACAGGTGAGCGGGAGCTGTTGCCGGCCACGCCCACAACAACGATCAATTGGTATCTGATCAATAAGGAGGGCATGATCTATGAGACGCATCTAAATAGCGATACGAAGCCAATGTCTGCTTTGTTTCATCTCTTTCCAGATATGCCCCAGACAAATGAACCCATAACCACGATAGATCTGGAGTAGACAAAACTGTTACAACTTTTATTTATTTATTATTTATTATTTAGTTTCTCGTTTCTAGTTTCTCGCACAAAATAAATCACAAATTTATGATAATGTTTTTGATTATTTGCATTTGATCAGAGCAACAGACAAAATAACCTAGCAAAAATTACTCACTTATTATTATTATCAACATTTTCATCTAATCAAATAATTTTTCTATATACATATATTTTAAAAAAATGTCAAAATAACTAATTGGTGCTTTGTTTATGATTGCCATTTACACTTTGCTCTGATAAACATAAAAGAAAGCAACCTTGAATCAATAATATTGAAGATGGGCAAGAATCTCAAAACAAGACCGTTTATTTTTAAGAATGAACCACAAGAATGTATAAATATTTTATGTTCAAACGTGCCAACTTAATTTATAGATTCTTGCTTTAAATTAAAACTAGAATGAGCATTTGTCTTAGGCATGCCGAACAATATATGCCCTTAGAGACCGGACTTAAATTGCCATCTTCTAAATTTCACTATGAATTCTGAAAGCCGACTGCTTGTTCCTATGGGATTCTTTTGATAATCTTCTTAGGAGTAAACAAATAAGTATAATAGCTGAGTTTGGTTGGGATAACTTGGTAAACCAAAAAGCTTCTCATTCAGGAAGTCATCTTGCGACCGATCGCACCTATGACTGCTATATGATATCGCTATCCGATCCGGCTTAGGCATATATACTAACAGCAGTAAGAAGACGATTAAATGTCAAGTTACCACAAGATAGCTTTAAAACTGAGGGAGGTCAACTTATTCAAATGGGCGTGTAAAAAATGAGAGCCGACACACAGACGGAAATTGGGAATATATATGTACTGTATAAGGTCGGGGACATCTGCTTCAATGCGCTACAAACCTGTGGTAACATTTTACGACCCCCTACACGCGTATAATAAACTAATTTAAATATACATTTCTTGGCTTGGCTCCCAATAGTTCACATAAAATGTTGAAAGCCCTTGTTCTATGTATTTAATGAGTTTTGAGATTCTGCTTGGCGCTGGGGCAGCCAAGCATTTAATTTGGCTAATTACAACGGCCGAGTCGCAGGTTCTTGGTTAATGCGGCAATTTAGATAAGCAAACTGGCAATTAGCTGGCTAGCTAGCTGGCTGGCTGGCTGGCTGGAACCTTAGCATGGCTGTTGTCGAGAAGCCCATTGTCTTGAACCCTGACCCCGCACAACATGCACAAATTGCTGAGAAACGCAGCTAAGCCGGCAACAATTAGCAGTAAGAAGACAGACAGAGAGAGAAAGAGAGAGAGAGAGACAGAGAGAAAGATAGTGGAAAGCGAAAGATCATAAACAAATGTTGACCTTGTTACCTAGTGGCCTTTAGCCAGAACGAATCAGGTGAAATACAATTGGAAGTTGTTATGAGATATATATTTATGTTTACCATAGGAAATAACATGATTGAGTCTGGATTTAGCTTATTATTATATGTATAAACTATTATTCAAACTATGTACATAATTATATATTTAAAACTTCCGTGGCAGCTTCTTATCTGAATTTAATTAAACGTCTTTGCCAAAAATAAAGCTTTTAATCAATTTTTGCATGTCTATCTTATTTATGGGATGTTTTACATATTTCAACTGTTACATTTTATTAGTAAAAAAATAGATAAATAAACTGAAGCGTTCTCTTTTCGACATTTTAGTGTTTTTAGTTGCGTTCGACAAAGTTTTAATCGGGTTCATTATAGTTCTAATTTTTTATTGTTTTAGAATGTTGTTTAGCCACTTTGACGTATAAGACTCTAATTTATAGATCTATAGTGCTTTGACAGGAAAGTGTGTTGGTGTTCTCGGTCCATAATAAATTAAATCATTTCGGGGATACGACGCAAACGCAGAGAACGTGTTCTCGTTATGTAATCCGTCAACTTTCCCAAATCGTCGCAAAAGGTTTTTGAACCACGTTTTTGTAATTTATAAACGTGTAGAATAATAATTAAAGCATTATATTTGTTTGCGCATTTTGCCCATTGCGACATTGACCCCACTGACCAGAAAATGGATAGACTGTGCGAGAGAGACAGAAAAAGTGAGGGACAGAGAGAGAGAGAGAGATAGAGAGAGATAGCTAGACAGAGACTAAGATGCAGTATTGTAATTAGTAATCGGTCATGCAAGAAATAGTAGAAACCCCTCTAGGCCTCGCAGCAAGTACTTGCGAGTACTTGAATACCTGAATACTTGAATACTGAGTACGCTTCATTGATAATCTGGCAAATGGGTGGGTGGTTGCTTGGGTGGTTGGTGGGGCGTTGTTTGGGGCACACGCAGCCCAATTGGGGGGAACTTTTTGTTTTTTTTGTCATTTGTTGTAGGCAAATTTGCTGTGTAGACAATTGTTTTGTCGCTGCGCTTTGATGCCGATGGTTGCAAGAATCGCTGCCATTATATAAACATGCAGCACGGCCCCAGAGTCAGTCAGTTGGACACACACTGTCAAGTGGCATTATTTGCACCACACCACACCAAAAGAAGCAACTAGCATCCACAAGTAATCCAACAAAAATGTACAATTTGCGTTTCATTTGCCTGCTGCTGTCCTGCACCTTCATCTGCCTGCTCGTTGGTGGCAGTGAGGCAGCGCCACGTCCACAGGAGGAGCCGGCTGTTAGTGAGCTGGAGGCGGACGCGTCCGACAAGGATTTGGAAGGCGCAGCATCTTATGGCTACGGCTACTACTCATCGCCCTATCTGGGCGGTGGCTATTATGGTGGCTTTGGAGGCTTTGGTGGCTACTGGCCCCACTACAGTGGCAGCTACTACGGCCTGGGTGAGTTTGGTGAGTCCTGTCCAGAGAAATACCCCTTTTAAACTCCTCTTTGCTTTATATAGGCTATCCCTACTACGGCGGCTACTATGGATCGCATCATCATCATGGACACTATGGACACTATTATTAAATCGTTGTTCAACTTACTCCTCATCTTGAACTAGACTAGTAGTTTGCACTCTAGCCTCAATTTAAGTGCGCAAGGATAATTGCTTTAATTAAGCAACAAAATCACAAAAAAAAAGTAACTTGACGACTACACAGATATGCAAAACTATAAAAGAAGATAGAATGAAAACGTATTATACATTTATAATTAGTATTAGAGCTCATAAAAACTTAGCAAAGATGTTCGGCGAAAAAATCGCTGATATTAATCACAAAACATGTTCAAAAATGTAAAATTAGTTTGGCAAATATAACCTGAATGGGACTTGAACTAATTAACAGATATTTCAAATAAATTAAACATAAAATGTATCGAAGCGACCGACAACTCCAAATTAAATGACATTTCTTTTGAATTAAGTGCAAACGTTGTCACATACAGAATTCCAGTTGTGGTTGCTTCTGTATTTGTTTTTTGCTTTGTCTGCGTAATTTATGGGAATAATAAAAAACAAATGTGCGTAGACGAGACGAGTTATATTCGCTATACACGTTCACGATTGTGTAAGCAAAGCGCCCTCAGCTGACATTTGGTCAAGACGCAACAGAAAAAACAAATACAACAAACAATTAGCTATTAGCTATTGGGCCATAAATAAACACACACACACACACGCAAGCCGCGTTAGTCTGGGCCAGCTGTCAGTCTGTGTTGTCTTCAGGTGCAGCAGCAGAGGCGAAAGGTCACGGAAGTTGAACTGCAGCCAAGATTAACGGCTGTGTGACAGACTTATGTTGAGACAATAACCGTTTGATTTGAATCGATCAACATTTCGTACACAATTTACATGTCAATCAATGATAGATGAATAATATATACAAATATATGTATATATATCTTATATAAGCATTTGAGTGGTGTGAACCTTGCCAAAAATAAAAAAGGAAAGCCAAAATCATAATTGCCAAATGAAGCCAAGAATTCGATGCGTTATTGACCTTTAGTCACATTCACATTTAAGCTGATTTCCCTCTTTTATTTGTTGTGTCTATAGTTTGCTTTGTAAATGTCAATATCAAGAACATCTGAGTGTATTCATTCATTCATTCAAAAGCTGTTCCGTTTTGTATTCACCTTTTTGTATTCATATTCACATTTGCAGACAATGCCGCTAAATTGGCTATTAAATTATCATTTCATCTGTGGCAGCTCACGTTTCGCATTTGTTGCTGTTGTTTGTTGTTGGAGCGTGGCTAAAATGCGAGTTGTTAAAATATTATCGCATATTAAGCATTTATCATAATTTTCGCTTGCCAATTTTTTAGCAAATGTGACTAGAGGCATTTAAATAAGCTAGCAGTTGTCTAATTATTTACTATAAATATTCACATAAAACACCCACAAAACAATTAATAGTGTTCCAGTAGCAAGAGGGATAGAATGGAATATACCCTGTAATCAAACCATTGAAAGAGGATTCGCTTAAGAGACACTCTGTATTCAATTTCTTACCTATCACGAACAGAGTGTCAAGCTGAATCTTACATTTATATTTATATTTATTTATATCAGGAATGTTGTGATTCCGGTTCCGTTTTGACACCTCAATCGTGAATTTACCTATTACATTTATGATACCTCTTTCTCTCATTTTGAGTGACTAGAGGGTATGCAGACAAGACCATTATCTCAATTAGCAACAATAATAAACAAATCGGACTGCATTCCGTTGAGACCAGTGAATATATTTTTGGATCTTTGCTCATTGAGTAAATCGATTGAGTGAGCAATGATGCATTGGCCCAAATCTAAAGAGCATGACTCGGCTTGAAATACGCTTTCATTTTATAAAGCACAAAAATGATTTTAAATGGGTTTTACACACTCATTACCAAAGCGGACAAGCTGCTCACAAAAACGGAACAAAAAAACTGTTAAGTCATGAGCAAGTTGTCGGCTTGTATCTAGAAGCATATATTTCTTAATCGTTTATAGATATATATTTTTTTTGTTTTGTTTTTTTTTTTTATTGGTGCAGACAAATTTTTGACTGGAGTTCAAGTGCACGATCTGAAACGAGACGAGACGAGACGAGCGACTGTCTTTAATTGAAAGCGAACCCACAATTTTGGATTTAATTTATTTTTCCTTTGTCCGGCATAGCGTGGGTTTGGTTATAATTCAATTAGACGCTAATCTCGTCATTAGAGGGCGCCTTGAGGACGGCTCGAATGCAGTCGCGTTAAAATGCAATCAGCTTTCTTGCTGTAAACTATAATTATGAGTAAATAATCAATCTATATGCAGAGTGGCATTAACAGTTTAGAGTCAACTTAAAAAATAAAAATAAAAAAGCTGCGGGTTGAAAAGTTCCTGTTTGGCGACCAGTTCGTGTCTTAAGTCTTTCGTTTCACTGGCTTAATTGATATGTTGCGCACATGGGCAACTGCTTGCCTACTTGCCACCAAGGACACAGTGTCAGACACACTTGAACCTCATCCTGTTGTTGACCCTCAAACTTGGCCATTGAACTGGCCGCAAAAACTTGTTTTGCCGTTGCGGTAATTTGGCGACTTTTGTGGTTACAGGCAGGCAGGTGGTGATCAGCAGCCAACTGGCCAAGAACTGCGGTCACTTTGTATATGTCTCTCTATCTCTTTCTGTCTATGTGTCTATCTCTCTCTTTCTCTCGCTCAGTCTCTGACAGTTAAGTTTCGTGTTTGACCTTGCACGCTGATCTTCGCTGCGATCTTCATGTGTGAATGGCGGAGCACCGCAGGGCGCTCAACGGAATGTATGCGTGTTCTGTTGCTGTGTTCCCCTCCCCCCAGTTTCTACACCCCTTGTGTACCCCTTAATTATCTCTTGTCCCATGCTCGAGTTGGCAAAAGCAAGGGCAATCAATTGAGGGCCCACCGAGTAGCTCTAAATGCATCCGACCAGAAACGTGCCCAAAACAACAAAAATAAAAAGGAAAACAAAAATGGTTTTTGTACAGACTCTGGTAATTTTATTACCAGCAATTCAAAAAGTCAAGCGCTTTAATTAGCCATTAACTTCCGCAAACAGACAACATTTGCAGCAATGTTCTGCTTGTCCATCCACATCTATCTTGTGGGTGCGCTCCTGCCCACAAAGCGCCACTGAAATGATTTATGATTGCGCTGAAATATTCATAAAGTGTATTTTACGGCATTTGTTTGATTTGTGAAACCATTATCTCGTTTTGATTAAAACGATTAGTGCCGTTCAGTGAGCAATATAATCAGAGCCAGCTCATCGCACTATAAGAAGGAAACATTTTTTTTAAGTACATGTCGGCTGACATAATAAGACAACAGCTAGTTCTACATTTTAAGCACAAATTCTAAATCATATTATTATTAGTATTTATGCTGACGGGAAGTTTTAGTTTTGAATTATGGCCATGTTGGCAACCAGTTAACAAAATTGACTCAAGTGGAAACGACGCAACAAAAGGCTGCATTTGGAAAGGCACAAGGTCAAATCCTGTACGCAAGGTCGCGTCGTATTTCAATGAGAACCAGTCTCCGAATCAAAATCAGAACCAGAACCGGAACCAGAACTTGATCTTTACATTTCTTTTGTTTCGCTTCCTTCTTTGCAACAGGACCAGAGCGCTTCTCTTGGCACTAATGATGATAAATAATTGTAAAACAGATGACGATGATCTCTTTTCTGATGCGACCTTGGGGCAAAAGTATTTTTATTGTTGCTTTCGATACGGTGTATAATGTAAGCACTTAACTTGATATTTTAATGGCTATCTGTGCTTTGTTGTTATTGTTGTTGTTGTTTTTACGCTCGAACACTTTTGTAATGCTAATCAAAGCAAACTTAATCATTAAGAATTGGTATAAATGGAATTGCTATAAATTGAGCAGTCAAATTTCTCAAAAATTTGTTACAGCTCAACCAGCTTCTATTGTTGGTTAATTCAATTAAAAATGTTTGCTTGTTTTTTTTAAAGCTTACAATTTTATGGAAGTTCGTCGCAAAAGCAATTCAACAACTATGCCATTAAGCTGTAACACACACATTTCTGATGTGTTTCTTTAATATGGCAGTTTTATGGTATGTGGGTGGTTAGATTAGCAATATCAACTTGATAATTAAAAGCAACTTGTACGAAGAGCATTCGAGTTTCGACCTTGTGGTGTCAGCTTTCTTTACTCTGCGGCTAATTTATTTATTTATTTATTTTGTTGTACAATATATTTATATTTGTATATTGTATCATTTTTCAAAAATGTATTAAAAGTGAGTTTAATGAACTGTTCGCGGATTTACAGTGGGTGAAAATCATTGTCACTGATTCATTTATTACACTTATTGTTGTTGCTTTTACTTTTGCGGTTTTTGATTGAACGTCATTTTGTATGCCACTGGCGAAATTGTCGCAGTTGAAGTCACAGTAACAGTTTCGAGTCGAGTGTTGAAATCCATAAAAATCAATATTATTTATGAGACGAGTCGACGAGCATCTTAACTAGTGGATTCTATCCGTAGTGCTTTTGACATATCCTGACAGCGACTGTGACTTGGCTAGCATACAAATCACTAGCAGCAGAATGAGAGAAAGAGAGAGATAGCGACAGAGTGAGAGAGAGATAATCTGTCCACTTAGCCAGCACCAAAATACTGACACATAAATTGCGCAATTAAGTGCTTGAATTTTAAATATTTTCCCTATTTCCATAAATATTTAAAACTATTTATTATCATGTCAAGCTGACTGGGACTACTTAAGCGGATTTAAATGTTTCTAGTTTCAACTTTTTTAATATAACAAATAGTTAGCATATACATATAATCCAGTTGATGAGCTGGAGCGGTTTATGGCATTTGTTTCATCTGATAGCTACAATCTATCGCATTTGAAAGTTGAAATACTTGAAGCGTGCTTGGCTCAAAACGAATTGTACAAATCATTTTGAATATGGCTTGTGCGTATCTTCCGGTTGTTATTATTAATAATAATTGTAGCTTTAACTATTAACGAGCTGCGAACAACCAGCATTTTAGTTGTTTTTTTTTTGGTTTGCAGTGAACCCATTGAAAATGTTTAAAATGGGAATAATGATCTTCTACAAAAGTATGTAGCAAGCAGCGAGAAGCATCTACGAACTTACAAAGTGAGTATATTTTTGATAAACTTCAATAAATAAGGCGATTTAGCAAAGTTCGTTTATCTCTATATGAAAACTACGATCTCAGAGACTATAAGAGCGAAAGAAAGAATTAATCTTATATAACCTTGGTCAATATCGACAATAATCAATTACCGGTAGCAATAAAACCTATATTTTAAAGATATATTCTTCTAATCGAAAATCTATATATAGCCTGACATCATCTATTAGAATTTCAACAAGTTCAACTGAGAGTCAAGTTGAATATCTAAGACATTATTACGAGTTAGGATAGTTAAATCCCTGAGTTTAGGGTATCTTCTGGTCGAGCTATCTCGAATCGAGCATTTCTTTCACACGTACAGTTTTCAATTAATGGCAAATTGCAAACTAGCAATCCATTAAACGCTCGATAACACGGGCCATAATTTGTCAGCGCTGCTATTAATGAATGGGAAAACATTAATTAGCAATTAGAAGCGATACGAACAAGGTTTTGTAGAATATGAATAGCCGCCCCCAAATAATATTAACTGCATTTTATTTTGGGTGCAGTATTGTATTTAATTTGATTTGATTTTAGTTCCAGTTGCTCCGATGATTGATGAAATTGAAATCTGTTGCGCCTTTTGAATTACTTTTATAGCCACGCATTGCGAATCGACAAGCCCCAAATCTCTAGTGAATTTCAATTGAGACTGTCAGCTAAGGTTAAAGCTCTTTTGGATTTTTATATTTGGCAAAAAGAAAACTAAATCCAGTTTTGCTATTGGGGCAGTTCTCTAGCTGCAAGCTTGAGACAGACAGTCAAGGTCGCATTGAAAATTTGAAACAGTAGCCTACACTGAGAAAATTAACTAAAAAAATTATACTACTTATATTTTCTCTTTTTTAAGAAATTCATAAAAGACCATTTGATATTGAAATATAAAAAATGTGAAAATCTATGTAGTAATTTGATAAGCAACGTTGTTTCTTATATATGTCTGAAGAATATGAAAATCTATATTGTAAATTAATAAACTAAACGTTAAACTCTATAATCTAACTTTCAATATATTTTGCTGATTTTCAAGCTTAGTTGATCTGTATTTTCTGCAGTGTAGACTACTGTTTCAAATATGAAACTGACCCTGGCTGAATGTGTCTCACAAATTGTGGGTCTCTTTGAAGTAATGCCAAAATGCGTGTCAACAGCACAGTTTGAATAAATCGATTAGCGGGCGTAGTTCGCATGAGGAAACCACAGACGTGTCAGTAATGCTCAAAATTCTGCCACCTGCAACAGCAGTGGCAACAACAACAACAACCACAACAACAGCCACAACAACAACAGAAAATAATACTAACTGCACATGCGTAGAGCCGACGCTTCGGATTCGAAGTCGAAGTGTGGCCGAAGTTATTGTTGCCCGATGCTGTTATAAATAAGGCGGACAACGGCACAGCCTTTGTTATTTGAACTTCAAATCTGCTCGAGTTCGCATCGTTTACTCTCGTGCGTCGTCGTCGTCGTTGTTGTCGTTGTGATCGCTCGCGAAACGCGCGCGTTTTGATAGCGTTTTTTGGTGTGAGTGTTTCCAACAGACAAGTGGGTAGCAGTGTTGCCTTAAACAGAAACAGAGACAGAAACAGAATCAAAAACAGAACCAGCAACAGACTGTCATTGCTATATTTCAAACATTCCACAAATTTATATCAATAATATATATATGCACACATATATATTTTTAGCTGCTGACGCAAGTGTTACCATATTCTAAAATACGTATACGCATTGTTGCAACAAAGTCAGCAGTCAGCACAAGAATAAAGATGGTGAGTTCAATGTGTTAAACAATCAACTAATAACAATATCAGTTAAGACACTCCAATGCTAGAATCCAAGAAAGGTTCACACTTTTTTGGGGTGCAGTTGTTTGCAGTTTGCTGCTTGCAGTTTTGCAGCTTGCAAATTTGCCGCTGGCAGCTGGCATCGACAACGACTTCAACTTCGACTCGTCGGCATCGCATTTGTCTGTCAAACAAAATTGCCCAACCGACGACGAAGACGAAAAGCAACAAAAAACAGAGTTGCCAACAAAGCGACAGCAAAAACAAACAACTTACCGAATAGAGTCCACGATTTTACGTATACGTAAAATTTGCATAAATGGCGCTACAATTGAGGAAAATCGGTACAAGTACAAATAAAATAACACAAAACTGACAAAACAGGTGGCAGCAAACAGCAAATAGCAATAGCAAACGAAACGACAAACACGACCTGCCGCAACTTCAATCATTATGTTGTTGCATATCGCTGGATGACAACAACAACAACAGCAACAACAGCATAACGACTAACCCTTAGTCTAATGCCTGACTGAGTCACTAAGTGTTGCTACCCAAAAATCGCATGAATTCAACGCTGATGGGCGGATGAGCAATACGCAAAACCCACTGACCGGAAACACTCATAAATACGCTAATACCCCCAACTCCTTTCCTCCCCCCTCACCAACTGTCCAAGCACTTGGCACTTTTCACGCTTTGCGGCTACCTGTTCTTGGCCTCCAGTTTGTGGCGCTTCAAATGTGGCAATTTGTATGACCACCGACAGACAACGTTGCGTATGCGCAATGCGCTGAACTTCACATTCCGCATGAATTATATATAGCATAATAAGAACTAACAAACTCGTGCTGATGTTGGGCAATTCAGTATTAATGCCATCCATAAAAAAGCCACAACCAGATTTTCCTCAAGGTCGTCACACACACACACACACACAGACACCTTTTTGTGTTAAGGAAATTTCACACGCCTCAATTGTGACAATTAACGCGCTACAAAGATAGTTATTGTTGTTGCTGCTGTTGTTGCTTTTGTCACCATTACGCATTGTTGTAGAAAATGACTCGTCGTGATTTAACAATCTGATTCGGCCCACTTGTGGGTGCAGCTAGCTGCTCTGTTGTAACAGTTACCAGACAGAACCACCACAGAATTATGCCACTTGCAATGACTTGGCAATTTGTTAGAGATTTCGTAATTGCTAGTGGGCCAGCATAGTAATTATACAATTCGAAGAGCATTGAGAATAATGCTTACAAATGAAATCACAAAAAATTAGTAAGGCAAAATTTGTTATTCAGTTATAATGGCAAGCCTTAATTGAAGAATTTTCCATACATCTTAGATTCAGCAAATCTGAGTAAAGTTAACATTTGTCAGGGACTTATAAAAAATGGCAATAAACACAGGATGATTACTTCTGGAGTTAATCCGTAAAAATCAACAAACAGGAAACCTCCTGGTTGGGACAACTAGGTAAAGAAAAAGGATTCTCATGCACTCAATTTAAACAAATGATTTGATGATCTAATGAATTTTGCTACATTTTGCACTTAAATCCAGAATTTATTTTCAAGCTTAGAGAGTTTTTTTGTTGTTCTTTTATTTAATTAGAACGTATACCAGTATCTAAAAAAGTCATCTTGAAGCCGTATATTGTTGCCAAAAAAATAAAATAAAATAAACATTTCCATATGTGTTTAATTAAATAAAAACTTGAGACAGAAATTCGTTTGCGGTACGCCTTCTGCGAGGCACGTTGAGAATTTATTGTATGACACCTGAGTCACAGCCATATACATATAAAAACAAAAAAAAAAAGAAGAAACTAAAACTACTTAATTGGGCTGTGAGTTAATGGCCAAGATATCACAAAAGTGGTTGTTCGCGGCGAAAAAAATCATTTAAGCCATAATAAATGTCGTCCAGCACAGAGTGAATCTCAACATGGCCGAGAAGGAAGCTAAAGATCGTTTTAGTGCAGTTGCACTTTTGAATAGTTGACTCGTTTTTTAGTTTATTTTTTTTAGACCTGACAGCTGACAAGTGGCCCGCGTGAAGTAATCACTGCTGACAACTTGGCAAAAAAGCGCTGTGTGGAGTGCCATTTTTTATGTCTGTGTGTCTTTTTTTTCATTACAATTAATAATAAATTCTGTTTCAGCTCGACAAGTTGTTTGAAGTCATAAAACAGTTGCGTGGGAGTTGAAAACTATTTATATTTATACATATATGTATAAGTATGTATGTATATGTATTTATTTATTTAGATGAGTTCTTTGCGCTGGGTTTGATAGCTTGTCGTTAGGATTTTATGGCTTTTGAGAGCCCACTTCAAGGCGGCCAAAAACTTATGTACTTCAATTCGAGATCCGAAATTCCGGGTTCATTTGCGATAAAAGCAAAAATTAAACGTCAGGCTTTGTTTGTTTGCCACTCAAAAGATCAATCAGCTTAACGGCTTGAAAGCAAACTAAGCCTGAAAAAAATGCAACATCGAAAAAAAAAGTGGATAAAAGAAAAGAACAACTTTGTTTTTACGAATATAATCATTCAGAGTTGATCATTTGAATTCTTATCGTGATAGAATACACAAAGCGAAGGCCTTAACATTAGTTCGCTTCTAATGGCAACAAATAGTTTTCTTTGGTGTTTTCGTCTCAAGGTTGACATAAAAACTTGCCACAAATTAGTTTTTAAGCAATTCGCCGGTTGCCAATTTAAATAAATTAAATTGACGAATCGGCAGAGTTTGTTAATTAAGACACGTTTAATATTCAGACATGTGTAAGAAGTTCTTTGAACTTGATTTGAGCATAAAAATACCACAAAAACCCACGTAAAGTCATTAGCACTTATGTAATTAGAACATTTCGACTTAGGATCTAACTATCACATGTTAATTACAGATGCGCTGACATTGAACCAGTTAAAACAACAGCTACCAGTTTTATTTATTTGTTTATTTTTTGTTGCCACATGCGGGCGCCTTTGGTTCATAATTAATGGACAACCTATCATTTATGGGGAGGCAATCAGCATTCCATAATAAACTGCTTTAAATGCTTCAAGCTTGTTCATCAAATGTAGTTTGTAGGAGAGTTGGTGTTGTTTTAAGTGACCCGATTAGTTGTAGCCTTAATTGTTTTTGACTACAGGCGCATGTTGGCAAATCAAATATTTCAAAAATATTACAAATTGCCAGTCGCCAAGTTACCACAGGTCTTAATTGCATGCAGATATGTATTACGTGTCATTGACAATATAATAAACACACTTTCAGTTGTCCATTGAAGCTGTCGCTCAGCTGTCTAAAATTAATGCTTAGCGGTTTCATCTTGTTAATGTCGATTGAATAATAATAGTCATCATAAATAATGATTTAATTTTGTTTCTTCTTCTTTTTCTTTGCAGCAACTTCAATTGCTCTGCCTCGTTCTGGGCGTTGTGACAGCTCACTGCTTGTCCGCCTTTGAACCACAGCCGGTAAGTGCTATAGTTAAATTCCTTTCAACACATCGCTGACTTTCAATATTTTTTAGGACTTGAGCAATCATGTGCACGGCGGCTATGACTATCCACAGCCGAAGGTGCCCTTCACTGATGGCTATTCGTATCCACGTCCAGCAGTACCATTCCCACCGCAGACTCAGCCACCGAGCAAAGGTTATGATTATCCCAAGCCAACGATTGTCTTCCCACCGCCTCAGCCAAAGGTTACCAGCGGTTATTCCTATCCAAAACCAGCGGTGCCTTTCCCACCCGAGCAACCAAAGTATATTCCACCACCGCAGCAGCAGATCGTTCCTGCCCAGCCGAGCAAAGGATACGATTATCCCAAGCCAGCGATTCCATTCTCGCCACCAGTCATAACTAAGAGCCCACCTCAACCCCAATACTTGCCTCCAGTTAAGATCAATAGCGGATATGATTACCCGAAGCCAGCGATACCATTCCCAGCACCGACTTTGCCACCCGTTAAGCCGACACCCAAATACTTGCCACCTGTGCAGCCTACAAGCCCACCTCAACCCAAATATTTGCCACCAGTGAAGATTAGCAGTGGATACGATTATCCCAAGCCTTCGGTTCCATTCCCACCACCAGTTGTAACAAAAAGTCCACCTCAACCCACCTACTTGCCTCCAGTGAAGGTTAGCAGTGGATACGATTATCCCAAGCCAGCGATTCCATTTCCACCACCAGTTGTACCAACAAAACCACCTCAACCCAAGTACTTGCCTCCTGTAAAGCCCACTAATCCTCCCCAGCCCACATATCTGCCTCCAGTTAAAGTTAGCAGTGGATATGATTATCCCAAGCCAGCGATTCCATTCCCACCACCAGTTGTACCAACAAAACCACCTCAACCCAAGTACTTGCCTCCTGTAAAGCCCACTAATCCTCCCCAGCCCACATATCTGCCTCCAGTTAAAGTTAGCAGTGGATATGATTATCCCAAGCCAGCGATTCCATTCCCACCACCAGTTGTACCAACAAAACCACCTCAACCCAAGTACTTGCCTCCTGTAAAGCCCACTAATCCTCCCCAGCCCACATATCTGCCTCCAGTTAAAGTTAGCAGTGGATATGATTATCCCAAGCCAGCGATTCCATTCCCACCACCAGTTGTACCAACAAAACCACCTCAACCCAAGTACTTGCCTCCTGTAAAGCCCACGAATCCTCCCCAGCCCACTTATCTACCCCCAGTAAAGGTTAGCAGTGGATATGATTATCCCAAGCCACCAATTCCATTCCCAGCACCAACTCCTGCACCCGTTAGGCCAACCAGTCCACCTCAACCCAAATATCTGCCTCCCGTTCAACCGACAAGTCCACCACAGTCCAAATATCTGCCTCCCGTGAAGGTTAACAGTGGATACGATTATCCCAAGCCATCAATTCCATTTCCGCCACCAGTTGTGCCGACAAGTCCACCAAAGCCCCAGTATTTACCTCCCGTAAAGACTACAAGTCCACCTCAGCCCAAATATCTGCCTCCCGTGCAGCCCAGCAAAGGTTACGATTATCCCAAGCCGGCAATTCCTTTCCCCGCACCCACCCCTGCACCCATCAGGCCAAGTAGTCCACCACAACCCAAATACTTGCCGCCTGTGCAGCCAAGCAAGGGTTACGATTATCCCAAGCCAGCAATTCCATTCCCAGCACCAGTGAGGACGACACCACAACCACAATACTTGCCACCACCTCAGCCCAAGCCTCAGGGCTATGACTATCCCAAGCCCTCAGTTCCCTTCCCTCCACCCACCCCAGCGCAATATCTGCCACCAGCGGCACCCAAGAGCGAGGGAGGTTACTCCTATCCAAAGCCAGCGATCGCCTTCAATTACTAGGCTTACGTTGCGCCTGCCCTGATGCCCAATCACTAATTAATTGACACGATTGCCTCTCCGTGCCCATAGGAACGTACGATATTGAATAATTGTAATTAACTATAATAATTTTATTTAATATTTAATATTAATGTTGTACCTGAGTTCGCGCTTCGGGCCTCTGTAATCGAATTTTAGTCATTAAAATATGTTTATACCATTTATATCTGCGCGAATCCAGCTGAAATAAAACGAACGATATCAATGAATTACAATTCTGGAATTTTAATGAACTTCATAAATGGATTTTATTTTATTTAATATTTTCTAATGGCTGGAACACCCATGCATTTGAAAATCTGATCCATTTTGGCAGAGCTTTGGCACTGGAAAGTTTATATCAATTGCATATGCTACGATTATGATTTTAACATGAATTTCGAATCGGAATCATTTAACTATAAATGGAGAATTGTTTTCGAAGTGACGTTATGACTAAAAAACGTCGGTTTTTGGAAATCTCATAATTTTTGACAAAGTTATGGGAAGCTTGGACTCAAGCCTCTAAGCTTATGTTGTAGCTAGAATTTTATCACGATTTTCGAGCCAGAATCAGGTTTTCAACTTTAAATGTATGATTAATCTAGATTATTAAAAGCCTAGGTAGGGAAGTTTAGATCCATGTGCATATTCCGATTCTGTGGATAGAAGTGTAGATGACTGTTGACATAGAATCTTGCTTAATCATTTAGGTATAGTAGGGGAGTATTTATCATAGCTTATGTAAATTTGGACACAATACTCTGTTGACAGAGAATAGTATACTTTCGGGTGCATTCCAAAATGGCACAGAAAAGTAGGCTAGGAATTGTTGTCATTATTTTTGGAAGCAAGATGGTCAGCATACTTTTTCCCATTTGTTTTGTGAATTGTTTTTAAACTTGGAGTAGCGAAACGTTGCATATTTTGAACAACTTGAAGACCTTCGTTGAAAGGAGGTCTTAACAGAATTAATTCATATTGGTGCTTAAAAATCCCCATAAAATGTAGTTTTCAATGAAATTATTTATCAGACATTTGCACTTTAGCAAAGCTTATAAATATTGTTTTATTGAAACTTATTTTTGGTTGATAAATTTGCTTATCGCTAATTATTAAAGCTTAACTATTATTGATTTTTTTTTTGTTTCTAAGTAGCTTTTAGCTTAATAGCTTGTCACTTAAATTATATTTAAACTGATTAAAACATTTTGTTTGTCAATTAAATCGGTTTCAAGGCATTTCTTTATTTATTTCGTTCCCTGGCAATCGCCATACAAAATCATTTAATGGTAACTTTGGAGTCAAAGTAAACATTAGCGTCTTTGCTGGCTGTCTTCTTCGGGAGCCTCAAGGAGCTTAATGACGACGACGGAGGACGACACGACGACGCTGGGTCTTGTAACGGTAGCCATCGCTGGACGAGAAGCTGTGTGCGGGGGCAGAGGCACCGGTATCGTAGCTCACAGCTGGGGCAGATGCAGCACCAGTGTAGGAAGAGCCGCCACCGAAGGAACCACCGCCGAGGGAAGAACCGCCGAATGAACCACCGCTGCTGTAGCTGGGAGCAGGAGCAGAGTAGCTGGCAACTGGAGCAGAGGCAGCACCGCCATAGGAAGAACCGCCGAAGGAACCACCGCCGAGGGAAGAACCGCCGAATGAACCACCGCTGCTGTAGCTAGCAGCAGGAGCAGAGTAGCTGGCAACTGGAGCAGAGGCAGCAACTGGGGGCAAGTAATCGTTGGATGGTGCAGAAGCGGCGCCCTGGACAGGGGGCAGGTAATCGTTGGAGGGCAGATGGCTGACATCACGACGGTGGCGACGGAGCACACGGCGACGGTGGGTCTTGTAACGGTAACCATCGCTGGACGAGAAGGTGTGTGCGGGGGCAGATGCACCGGTGTCGTAGCTCTCAACGGCAGCGGGAGCCGAGTAGGTCTGGACTGGAGCAGAGGCAGCGCCAAAGGAACCACCGCCAAGGGAAGAACCGCCATAAGAGCCACCGTTATCATAGGAGGCACCACCAGAGTAGCTCACAGCTGGGGCAGAGGCGGCTGTCTCGTAAGAGGCACCACCGAAGTCAGCGGCAGGAGCGGCATAGCTCTGGACGGGAGCCGATGCAGCTTGGTTGGGTGGCAGGTACTCGTTCGACAGATGGCTGACATCGGCTGCAACGGCAGCAATCAGGGCACAGATCAACAACACTTTCTGCAAATCGAACAAGGGTAAGCAAAATATATATTATTATTATTGCTATTGTTGCTGTTGCTGTTGTTGTTGGTGTGTTTGTAAAAAAGGACTTTTAGTTACCATTTTTGCTCGCTTGCTTTGATCTCCAGCTATGTGTAGAATCCAAGAAGAAATGATGCTGTTCACAAACTTCTGCCGCATTTTTATATGATTCTAATGGTTGAAGCTGATGCCAAAAAAAATCCCATTAGCATATGGCTTTGCATGAAATTAATGTATTTTGAATTTTAATAATTTGTACAAAAAAATATACTGTAGACACCAGCCGCAAAAATAAATCTATTATAGTTTTTTCACAAGCCGGTTTAATTCAAGTTTCTTGTGCGCTTGCTCGCTAGCAAGCTCTTCTCATTGTCAATACATACATACAGATATCCATGTACATGTATATATATATATTATATATATGGTATATCCGCTGCGGTTCAATCGGTCGGGGCCGATACACCCCAGTGGTGTATTAATATTGATGTCAGCATCAACTTGCAGCTCACTGATTGCTTTAATTTGCAGTATAATAATAATAATCTGTTCCAATTATCTAAGTTAAGTGCTTTCAGGTTTTCAAACTTCCTTTTGCCCCACTGTCAAATTTCACTCAACTTGTTCCAATTAATGGCTATTCATTTGTAATTAGACATTAGTATAATCATATTATGGTATAATTTGCATAACTCTTGTTTAGCAGCTTGCTTATCGCCCCAGACAATTTGGCAGACAGTGCTTAAAAAATAATGTTGCATAACCCACGGATGTTAAATATGGGCCTACGACTGAGCAATCAAGTCTGTTATTGTTATTCAACACACATTACTTGCTAAAATGGCAAATATATAATTCGAAAATAAGTTGACAGAAATCCTTATTCCATAGATAATCGTGTGTAAGTATCCACATTTAATACAAAATTTCTTTAACAATCACTTTGGTTATTTAATCACTATATACATAGTATATAGTATATATATAGTATAGATATATGAATAGAGGCTTAGCTTAGACTTCTACGTGTCAATCTCGTTATTGAAAACTAATTTTTATTTTTATAGTCTGCCCCCAAAGACTTTAAAAACTTTGTCATTCTGTATTCTGAGATCGGATTCTCAGTGCTTATAAAAGCTATATAATTTGGAATATGAGTTCTCATATATTATAGGCAGATCAAGTTCAAGGATAACTGCCCCCGATTCGCAAATATCAATATTAAATCTTATTCCGATAGCCATAAAAAAGCAATTTTAAAGATCGTTTATGAATATACCGTGGCATATTATTGATCAACTGTAAAAAAAACGAAGATCGGGTAGGAAGTACAAATTCTGTTAACCATTAAAAATAAAATTTAATTAATGACTAAGTTACGGTAATCTTGAACAAAAAATATTAACAGCAAACGTTTTCGATATACATACGTACACAGATAAATGCTTGCTTCTGTGAGAATGTGAGAAGAGAACACCACGACAATTAAAGTGAACATAATTTAGTGTATATGTATTTTGTAAGTCCCCAATATTTATGTATATTTAAAATTATGTAAAGCATTACTAACACAATAACCTGCTTAGTCTCGTAAAGTTGAATTTTGTTATAATCGATTTCTTCTATTCTTACAGCAATCTTGCTTGCCGGTCTACTAACATCTTCAAGGTTGCTCCGTGGGATGGATTTCTTCGTTTGTGGTAGCGGAAATCATTTGACCCTTTTCGAGCTTGGGGCAGAAAGTCAGTGAAGACATTAGCAGCGAGAGCAATTAGATCTATCGGATTGTTCTGTGAGGCATATTTGAGCTTACTAAACAAGTTATTAAGGGGGGCTTGTGGATTTGCTTTTATTCTTGTCTGATTGAGTTGCTTGCTCACAGCAATTAAAACAATATACCAATGCATTTATTCAGGCGTTATCTTTTATATAAATTATTTTATAAATTCTTCCCATCCAGACTATTATATAATCTAAATAGAAATGATTCTGTTTACAAATAACATTTCGCTTTTGTTTTTAAATATTATAATTTGCATATGAATATTTGACACAACAAACAAAAATTGGCAATCCAAAAATAAGTGTGTTATATAAATCTACTTTAATAATCAGGTTTAATTGAATCTGAGCAGCGATTCAATCGGTTGACGACGATCAGTGGTGTGAATATTGATGTCCGCATTTGAAATATTCGAAATATTATAATTCTATTAATAGGTCACGTAATAGGTCAAGCCTCTTAGATGTTTTTAATTCCCATCAACGATTTCAATTCAATAAATAAAAGTCATTAAGAATTATGGATATTTTCGTTATGTTTTTATTTCGTGAACGAAAAGAGGATATATTCTAAATGTATATTAAACTCATACTCCAAAATGAGTACGAGCCGATCACTTAGTGAATCATTTCAGATGAGGCTTAATGACGACGACGGTAGACGACGCGACGGTGGGTCTTGTAACGGTAACCATCATCAGCGAGCTCGTGAGCGGGAGCAGCCTCCGGAACGGGAGCATACTGGACGGGAGCTGGGGCTGGGACTGGGGCAGCAACAGTCTGGACGGGTGGCAGATAATCGTTGCTGGGGACTGGGGCAGCAGCCTGAGCAACTGGGGGCAGGTACTCGTTGGAGGGCAGGTGGCTCACATCACGACGGTTGCGACGGTAGACGACGCGACGGTGGGTCTTGTAACGGTAACCATCATCAGCAAGCTCATGAGCGGGAGCAGCCTCCGGAACGGGAGCATACTGGACGGGAGCTGGTGCTGGGACTGGGGCAGCAATAGTCTGGACGGGTGGCAGATAATCGTTGCTGGGGACTGGGGCGGCAGCCTGAGCAACTGGGGGCAAGTACTCGTTGGAGGGCAGGTGGCTCACATCACGACGGTTGCGACGGTAGACGACACGACGGTGGGTCTTGTAACGGTATCCATCATCGGCAAGGTTTCCCTGCTCAACCTGAGCGTACGAAGCATCGTTGGCAACTGGAGCCAGATACTCATTGGTGGGGGCAGCAACAACTTGAGCCTCCTCCTGAACAGGGGGCAGGTAATCGTTGGAGGGCAGGTGGCTCACATCACGACGGTGGCGACGGAGCACACGGCGACGCTGGGTCTTGTAACGGTAACCATCTTGAGCGAGGCTGCCCTGCTCAACCTGAGCGTACGAAGCATCGTTGGCAACTGGAGCCAGATACTCATTGGTGGGGGCAGCAACAACTTGAGCTTCCTCCTGAACTGGGGGCAGGTACTCGTTGGTGGGCAGGTGGCTCACATCACGACGGTGGCGACGGTAGACGACGCGACGGTGGGTCTTGTAACGGTAACCATCATCAGCGAGCTCATGAGCGGGAGCAGCCTCCGGAACGGGAGCAAACTGGATAGGAGCCGGGGCTGGGGCTGGGGCAGCAATAGTCTGGACGGGTGGCAGATAATCGTTGCTGGGGACTGGGGCAGCAGCCTGAGCAACTGGGGGCAGGTACTCGTTGGAGGGCAGGTGGCTCACATCACGACGGTTGCGACGGTAGACGACACGACGGTGGGTCTTGTAACGGTATCCATCATCGGCAAGGTTTCCCTGCTCAACCTGAGCGTACGAAGCATCGTTGGCAACTGGAGCCAGATACTCATTGGTGGGGGCAGCAACAACTTGAGCTTCCTCCTGAACAGGGGGCAGGTAATCGTTGGAGGGCAGGTGGCTCACATCACGACGGTGGCGACGGAGCACACGGCGACGCTGGGTCTTGTAACGGTAACCATCTTGAGCGAGGCTGCCCTGCTCAACTTGGCCGTAGGAAGCCTCATCGTTGGCAACTGGGGCCAGATACTCATTGCTGGGGGCAGCAACGGTTTGGACAGCCTCCTGCTGCAGGGGTGGCAGATACTCGTTGGAGACATCAGCAGCGACAGCTGCGATCACAGCGAAAGCAACCAGGAACAATTTCTATGGAGCAAAAGTGGGAGTTGAGTTTAGTTAGATTCAGTTGATTAAGTTGGTAAGTGGATTTGGTGGATTAGTTGGAGTTATTCCAGATGTTGGTGCGTTATGCGTACCATGTTGACTGCTTCTTGAGTTTTGCTTGTTGTTAACACCAGTTAAACCAAAACTCTAATGAAGAAATACGCAGAACCTTTTGGTATTTATACAAATTCTTCTCGGCATTCGTAGCTCATTACAGCCCTGCTCACTAACAGCAGCGCTGTGTTTGCTCTGCTTCTGCTTCTGCTTTCTCACTGCTCTGCTTTTGCTCTGCTTCTGCTTCTGCTTCTGCTTTGCGCGTGGCTTTGCCCCACGCCAACGCCAACGTCAACATAATCGGCATGTGCTTTGATCGCGTTGTAAAAATTCGCACGGCTTCGAACTCTGCACGAGTTCTAAGCCGCAGCCGCAGCCGCAGCCGCAGCCGCAGCCGCAGCCGCAGCCGCGGCTCCAATTAGCTGACCATTCCGCTCAGCTCAGCTAAGCTCAGCTCAGCTCAGGTCAGCGACGGTGACGGCGGCAGCGACGGCGACGTCAGCGTTTACATTCGCTTTGCAAATTCGCTCGAATGGATTCCCTTAATTGTTTTCTTAAGTTTTATGCAAAAACATTTGATGGACAACACGCAACACACACAATACACACAACACACACAACACACACCACACACAAACAGCTTGATTTGATTTGATTTGTTTTTTTTTTGTTGTTGTTCATTCAAGCTGCTAAAAACGCGTTCGACATTAATTTCAAAATTGTCTTGCTGCGTGTATCAAATAAAAGTCATCTACTTATTATGATCAGACATATATGATGATTAGGTACTTTATATGTTCATATTTTGTGTCTATTGTGAATCGGTTTAGTGTTGTTATTATTGTTGTTGTAGTTGTTCATTAATCATTTAAAGCAACCGCCGCAGTCAATTCAATAAGATGTTATTTTGATGGCACAATTCACTATAGTTTATTTAGTGCGTGAATTATATGCCGGATATAATAAGTTCGATCAGAATACAAACCTAAGCCAAGTTGCCCCACATATAAATGAAATATCTAGCAAAAAATAATCAAAAGAAACCTTTACAAATTATCAGATTTGTTGGCAGCAACTCCCATCAACAATCTAACGGAAAACCCCCCAAAAAATATGTACATATATCTCAATGGGATCTGAAACCTACTTCTGCAGCAGCAATCGATCAAACATCAACGATGAACTGTTGCTATGATTAATGATCCATGCGAAAAGGAATTGCGAATTTTTTAAGTGTGCCAAATCAAAAATCAAATCAGGCTCGTTAGTAGCGCCCATCGAGCAAATTGGTTCCGCACGTTTTGAAGGATGATCAGGTTTTTTCATATGTCTAACACATCCAATATCCGCTCTTTACTTTTATTTTGTTATTGATACTCAGAAGAACATAATGTTTATAATTATTTATATGAGCAGCTGTTAGTCAAGGCTAGAGAGCGATAAGTACTTGAGATCAATCATTGTTTACCATTGTGATCGGCGTGGGTGGCTTTCAATTTGAGTTCAAAGTTGGTTAGCATTAGACTTGGTTAATCTAAATACACGTTTGACTAATTGACTTGTGCTATAAACCAAATTGTGATGGGCTATCAACATGTTTTTTCTTAGTATTCATTTTGAATGCATACGCATTTCTTGTTTGTCGCATATAAAACAATATACACAAAACAGAAAACACAATGAAACTACGAACTTTTCATTTCCTGTATGGCTCAATTGATGCCTTGACGAAAAATAAAATTTACAATCTCCAAATCGAGATCTATGTCTAAATCGAAATCTAAATCTAAATCAAAGCTCATTTACAAGTCCACTTTAAACAATTCTATTCTTTTATGTTTTATTCTATTTGTGTTATTGCCTGTCTGATAGTAGTACTGGTTCAGTTACTCGTCACAAATGGTGTTCAACAATACATCATTGTCGTAACTAGTATAGCAGCAGCCCTCGATGAGCCGGTCCAAGCACTTAAAAGTGCCATTTCGGCATTAATGTTTATGCTGAAATGGCATAAATATGCAAATTAGTGAATGGCTGCTAGCAAGCTTATTTAAACTCGTCCCGCCAAAATCGAGAACAGACAAAAATACACAAGCACACACGCCACACAAACACACACACACATACACACAATACTTTTAATATAATAATACAAATGGCCATTGGACATTAAACATGTGCACATATATACATATTCACGTTACCAGCTTCAGTCGATAAACTCCAGCTTAAATCAGCGCATCCCATTAAAACGTCTCTAGAAGATACGGGAATACGATAGTAAGCAGCTAGCAACCAAGTCGTCTTTTAGCTACGCTTCAGTTAATCCATGGCATATATACACAGCTATGGAGAGCTAAATATCACCAAAAAAAAAATATATACATTTCTCAAAATGTTCAAAAATTGAAAAAAAAAACTGCAAAAGTTGCATTACTTCTTATAATTGTTAAATAAAAATCGTAATTTTTACGATTTATATGTCCTTAGCTGTAGCTGCGGATGAACAATAGCGCTAAAATAAACGTCTGTTTTTGTATGATTATTTCTTTCGAATAGACAAATTAACATATATCTTTGAGCTTGGAAATGTATTAATATAACCCAAAACAACGTATCGAAACTAGTTTATAGGCTTTTAAAAAAAGAAGTGCAATATTTAAAAAAATATAATGAAAAGATTTTCTGGTTATATGATAGATATTTGCTAAAAATCGAGCACTGTATTTAAAAAATTAATGCAAAATCAATCAAATGTTCAAAAAGTCATACTGAAATGAATGAAGATATACTGTATAAACATATACTGTATGCAACAACGCACAATAAAAGCTGCATATATCTGTTCGACATCAGTTGACTAAGACGTGCAATCTTTTTGAAATGGCCACAGCCCAAATCAGACACCTTTTCAGCCCAGAGACTATTGATGGGACTTGGGCTTAATAAATCCTATGACAACAAGCCAAGCTTTCTTGCTCTTAGAAGACCTACAACAAATGCATTTCATTATCTGCATAAGACAACTCATTTGCCGATATTTAAACATCAATTTGTTGATGCACGACTGTCTGAACCCAATCCACACTAATAAAATCAAGCAGGTATCATTATCCTTGAGTCAACGCTTTTGTTCCACATCTTTTGGCAAGTGATCGCTTACATAAAATATTAAAGCGCAGCTCAAACAACTACTGTATTGATAAGTGTAATATATTTTTAGCTGGTACTGTAGGCATGTTTGCTGTTTTTTTTTGCTTGAAGTTTGCTAAAAAAAATACATAATAATTCGACTATGGCAACAAGACGAGCGTCGCTCTGTCTAACAGAAACCTTTTTGCGCTGCTTTACTTTATGCAAATTCCACTTTAATTAATATTATTCACATTGGTATTAGCAATTTAACAGGCAGCAGCAGCAGCGGCATTCTCTTTCTCTGTCACTGTCTTTATCTCTGTCTTCGTCTCGCTTCCTTCACCTTACTCACACGCGCGCCTTAATTTAGTTTTCTAATCTTATACTCTAAATGAATGTGGGGCTTAAAACTTTGACAACATGCTTACAATAGCTTATAAGTGAATTCGGATTTTTGGTATTTGCATATATTAAAACATGCATGCAAATAATATTCTTGAAATAATATTTATATATAGAAACACCTACAGAAACATCTATAATCCCAATTTTAATTACTCTTTTATTTGATTGTGAATAGAGTATACTCTTTTAGTCTATGAGTATATCAGATTTGGTTTTTTTCTTGTTAAGTACAAGTTTTAGTTTTTTATAATAAATTAAGCTTTTGGCTTTAGCTGCTCTTTTTTGTTGTGTTTAATTTAAATGTATGATAAATCATTCTGGAAACCAGTTTTCTTTCTCGCTTCGAATGCGATCTAAGCAGCAACTAGAAAGTGCCGACAGCGACATGGATCTCATCTTCAGACCCGAATAAAAATAAAAATAAAACAGAAGAAGACGAAATCATAAATAGAATTATAATAATCGCGCACACTTCCAACACGCGGCGATGGGCATCATTTAAAATTCAAACGCGTGGCACAAGAAATTTGGCAAGTTCCTTTCAAATTGTCTATTTTATTAGTTTTTTTTCTTTTCTGTTCATTGGCGAGTAAAGCTAAGGGGGCAAGGGGCACTTAAGTGTGTATAGAGATGCTTCAAATGTGATGATTTCAGTTGAGTACGAATTAATCACTTGCGGTATGCTGAATGTAATTGTTTGTTGGGCTAAATTTAACAGATGACGTAAGACAACCAGTAGGGCAATAGGGCCCTGCTTTCGGCTAGTTCCCACACACCTAAATATGAATAGCTTAAAGCCCGCACAAATGAGTCTATGAACTGATGTGCCAATTAAGCGGGGCGTGCTCAATATTACCAAAATGAAAAAACCAAACCAACCACAGTACACAAATGGCAAACAGCTGCGGATCATTGAACTCTCCACTCCGCTCTCAACTCTCAACTCTCATAAGCGTAATGCTCGATCTCATCGTATTCGATCAAATCTGATCCGCACTCGCTTTGCAGAGCTACAATAAAAAAACAAAACAAAACAAATATGCATGCTCTAGTCGAGAGCGCGTGACTTGAAGATACCCTGAACCCAAGTCTTCAACTACCCAAAGTCGTACTCGTCTCTTATTCTCTGATACATGTTTGTCTTGATGTACTCGACTATTGATCCCCATAAAGAATATAGATATATACCTTATGGGACTTTCAGATACTTCCTACTTGTTACACATCTTCACAATAGCCTTTTTACACATTTGCATAACAAGTAGAATTCGCAAATTTATATATATAATCAGGGCCGAAATTCAGCCATGAGGAGGCAAATCTTTGAAATTCTCAACTTATTTCTTACTCATGCCACATTGTCATCAATTATTAATATAAAAAAAGTTTTAGATTGTGTTTAAATGTAGTAGCTGCAGTGTAGAGCTTGTCTGATGCTGAACAGAGGCCAGCCAACGCTAAAGTCAGCTACTTATTACAATGGGCTAATGAACCACTCATCGTGTGTAATAGCTGCACCACTGTTTTAGCCAACTTGAGAGATCTGGTCAAACAAAGATGCGTCTTAAAGCAACTCAACGACAATGATTTAAGAGTTCGCTGCCAAATATTGACATCGATGGTAAACGAAAAAATATTACTTTGAATACATTGTATGTATATGCAGATTTTGAACGCGTGGGCTCGCCTTAGTTGACCAGCTATATGTATGTAAATATATACATATATCGATATATATATGTGCGTTTGTATTGGCATAATACATCTTAGCTCTGATCCATTCAGTGCTGTACCCACGTCAGCATTAGGTTTTTATTTAAATGCTTTGATTATTTGTAGTTTTTTCTTTACACAGTCGATTGGTTAAATATTGTTTATTTTTTGCTTGTTTGCTGTTGCTTCTTTTTTTTCAATTTGCATGAGAATCGTATCTAAATGAACGCATTAATTTATGCTCACAATTGGCTTTGTGTGCTCATCTTCCTTTCTATTATGTCCAACAAAAAATAAAAACTTGCATGACCTGTATATTTCCATTGTGCTGCAAAATCTGTCCAACACTGAACTAGTTTCCTATGCACACACATCGAATCCGCTGTTTTCCGCTATACCCCACAATCAGCTATTGAATGATGAGTAAATCAGATACAAATAAAACCAAGTAAACAAGTCAGAACCAAAATCGTTGACAATCCAAAGCTAAATAATATTGCTTTATAATATAGTAATTAAATGTTTATAAATTTTTAAATTTACATTTTAAGAGCATAATAAAAAACATAACTGCTGATAGCTTGATAAATAAAAAAGTTCTACACACAAGAAATCATCTTGTGATCAATAAAGCCTATGGCAGCTAAAATATATAGTACTGTGATTCTATTCGATTTACAAACTTCACGACAAAGATATAATACCCTCTTATAAATATCTGCTTAATAGAAATCACTACAAATATATCATTTCTACTTTGTTTTACAATTGTGTAAACTATTGCACATACATATTTTTTTATAAAAAGTGTATTTCGAATATGCTTGATCAGCTTTTACTGAGTGTTTGTATATATTTATATATTCATTTAAATGTTCCGATTTTCAATCTCTCTGTAGCTCTGTGTAAAGTTCTGCTGCAAAGCTTTAGCTAGCCAGCTTTACTCGGACTTGACCACAATATAGCTTAAAAGCTCTATCTTCGCCAAAGCGGAAGCGGAACTTGCCATTTGAAAGAAAAGCCTGAAAGTAGGCAACACAAATTACAGATTTGATTCTGTTCTTCAAACAAATGCGCTGATATATTTATAAATATTGTAAACTACATACAAATTTGAATAAGACATTATTGGAAACTCATTTAGTATGCCTGGGATTCTTGTAGTGATAACCATCATCGTGATAGGATCTCTCCTGATGCTCAGAAGCAGCTGTTTCTTGATCCTGACTCGCTCTGTGTCGAGATCATTTGTGCTCGGGCCTTGCTTTGGCTAATTCTGGTGCACTGTCATCCAATCCAATATTTCTTTGAATGCCATCTGTGTCGTCGTCATCGTAGTAATCACCATCAGTTGCTAGAACGGATCGTTGGTTACCATTCTGCATGCTATAGAAGTTGCCGTCTATGATATTGGTGTCCTGCTGATTGCCCACTTCATTTGCGGGTCCCTGCACATTTGGTTGGCCAAATATATTACCTCTGACCACATTTAAGCCTTGGTAGTTGGAGCGATTGCGTTGACGTCCATTGCGTCGTCTGCCATTTGCTCGTTCAAATGCTACAACTTGATTTGGACTCGCATTTCCTAGCGCTTGAGCACCGGTGGCTAACTGTCTTCCCAAGAGCATATTTTGATTACCGGCTAAGGTTTGTTGAGCATCTAGAGTCTGACTCCTTCCCAGTTGAGCGCCCAACATGGATCTAAATTGATTTGGATTGCCGGCTGTCGGGGCAGGCAATTGTCGACCAAAATCGGGATCAGTTTGAATAAGAACTGAGCTTGGTCGTTGGTTAACTGCTTGTCCACCATTTAACTGAGCTGGTTGTGCCCCTACCAAAAGCTGTGCTCCATTTGCCGGCGTAAATAGATTCTCACCATTGCCATTGCCAGCGCCCTGTCCATTGTCCAGATTTACAGCCAGTTGTCGACCAACTGGAGCTAACCCATTGGCTGACAATTGACCTCCACCTGTGGTCAACTCAAGAGCTGGCAACGGACCCCCAGTTGCAGCTAATCCATTGGCAGGCAACTGACCTCCACTTAGAGCCAATCCATTACCCGACAACTGTCCACCTACTGCAGCAACTCTATTACCCGTCAACTGACCTCCACCAAGAACCAATCTATTGACTGATAACTGACCTCCACCTAGAGCTAATCGATTACGCTGTCCGCCCACTGCACGAAACCCATTACCTGACGCCAATCCATTACCCGGTATCTGACCTCCAACAGGGGCTAACCTACTTTCTACCAATTGATCGCCAAGCAGATTAAAGAACCGAGGACCACCCGAAGCCTGAGCACTGGCAGCTAATTGCCCAACTGGCCGCACAGGATCTGCACGGTATCGTGAGTTCAGTTCCGAGTCCTGCGACTGTACGTTGATCTGTGTGTGGAACACTGAGTTGGGAGCCGTTGCATAGACCAGCCGATTGGGACGACGACGACGCAGACGCCGACCGACAATATTCCGAGTAGGCGACGATCTAGTTCTGATTCCAGCGTTGGGCAATTGCGGATTGTGCTGTTGGTAATGAATATGCTCGGTCTTCATATCTGGTTTTTTATCATAGTGATGATAATGATCCACTCGCTTCGGTTCGTGATGCTCCTGTTGCTCCCTGTGGTGGTAGACAACATGTTCGCTTTTGTGCTTATCCTTCCGGAAGAAGGGCTTCAGCTCATGCCTTTCCAGTGCCAAGTAGTGACTATCCTCATCCTCATCGTCGTATTCCCTGTGCTGTCTCTGATGCTTCGATGGCGTCGCCTCAGCCAGCAAGGCAAATGCAGCCAGGAAAACGAGCAGTATTCTAAACAGCTCCTGTGAAATACATTTTGGACTTATCTACTGCCTTCCCAAGTTGGTATTCCTATCGATTCTTACCATATTGCGTCTGTGCCGAATGGAACATTTCGACTTCAATTATATACGAAATCGATATTGCATTATGCATTGTTCCAATTTGGACTGCATTGTCCAGCTATAACCTGTTGTGGAGCGTGAGAAATTTGTCACGGCACTTTATGTGATCCATTTGATTCATATCATATTGAATCAGCTCATTTATCTTGTCGGATCGAATCAACGCAATTTAAATACAAATGAGGCTACAAGACAAAAGACAAAACAAACATGAAATCACCGCCTCTGATCAAAGGCAATTGATTTTATGGAGCTGATGGTTCTGCAAGCGATTCGAATTGACGCACGAGCCGTTAGCCAATTAAATCGAAGCAGCACTTTGCTAAATATTAATGAGATTGGTTAACATATGCAAAAAAAAAAGTTGATTACTTTCATTCCATTCTCTCTGAGAGTTGTTTTATTCTTTCACAAGCAATAAGGGAGACTTGTTAAATATGATAAAACCGATTTTCTTTCATGTTTCTTGACTAATTCAATTTTTACAAATAATTAATTTTGTATTTTAGAATATACATTAATACAGAATACTAAAATTGGCATTACTCGTTGAAATATCGTTGAATCTATAATTGTTATACCGTTTTAGACTAATTAGGTATATCTCTAATTACGAACATCGAAAAATGGTAATGTCAACTTGTTGCCAAGAATGTCAAACAAATTTCTAGGGACTGAATTTCTAACAGGCTGAACAAAAATAAAATGTATTTTTCAATCTGATCTAATTTCATTTGCATAAGTTATGCATATTTTTAATTATCTTGAAAAGCAGTTCTTTCTCTTATATTCAAAATCACATTGACTAGAAGTTTGAGTTTATAGTGTTGTTATGGTTTTTATCGCTTATAAATTGCCACAAGGCCATATTGTTTGGTCAAATTTAAGATAATTTCCATATGGAATAATTTGTTTTAATTATCTTTTGCATTATTATGTTGTCCATTAGATTAGCCATTAACCATAGTGAATAGAAGGCAAAGTTTATACTCAATTTGAAGTATTTATTGCATATAAAATTCTTTCAAGTGTCGGCAACAAATCGTTTAGAAGCGACGTCTGTAGACGCGACGACGGACAACCCTGTACTCGTATCCGTTGTGAGCTGTGGAGGCAGCTGGGGCTGAGGCAGCTTCTTCGTAGGTGTCATCGGAGGCCGGGCTTTGGAAGTTGAAAGCGGGTGCAGCTGGTGCAGCTGGAGCAGCGAAAGATTGCACAGGAGCTGAGGCGGCGGCAATGTGATGATGAACTGGAGCTGGTGGAACATACGAACGAACCGGCGCCGGAGCAGATGCAGCAGCAGTAAAGGAATGTTGAACTGGAGCAGGGGCAAAGGATTGCACGGGTGCCGAAGCGGCAGCATGATGATGATGCACTTGGGTAGCAGGAGCGGCATGATGAACGGGGGCAGCATGATGAACTGGTGCAGGAGCATGATAAACGGGTGCAGGAGCATGATGAACAGGTCCAGGAGCATGATGAACAGGAGCAGGAGCATGATGAACGGGTGCAGGAGCATGATGAGCAACAGGTGGAATATAAGAGCGAACTGGAGCTGGAGCTGATGCGGCAGCTGTAAAGGATGGGGCCGGAGCGGAAGCTGCGGCAAAGTGATGAACTGGAGCAGGAGCAGGGGCGAAGGAGTGAGAAGGAGCTGGAGCAGCGGCAAACGACTGAACGGGAGCCGAGGCAGCAAAATGATGAGTTTCAGCTGGAGCAGCAGCAAATGAATGCGAGGGAGCCGAGGCTTCAGCAAAGTGCTGAACTGGAGCTGGAGCTGGTGCGAAGGTCTTAACGGGAGCAGAGGCAGCAGCAAAATGCTGAACTGGAGCCGAGGCGGCCGCATGATGATGAACTGCAGCTGGAGCAGCTACATGATGATGCACCTGAGGTGCTGGATAATTGTAGCCGGCATCAGCAGCCACACAGCCCACCAAGGCCAAAACGACGACAAAGTATTTCTGTAAGGATTAGATGAGATCAGCAAACGATAACAACTAGAATAGCAAGAATTTATTCCACAGAGCTAATTATTTACCATTTGGGATGCTGTTGTGACGACAAGTCTCGTACAATAACTAATAATCAGTGGGGAACTCAACTTTTATACGACTCGTCGCGGAACAGAAGCAGTGCATATATCATTAATCAGTGCTTTGCCAATCCGTTCATTTGCCGTACGCAAAACTGTGTGTTGGTCAATTAACAAAAAAGCTTCTTTAATTCTCACTCATTCTATGATGTCGTACGTAACAGAGATAATGGCTATATATATGAATATTCATACATTAAAACCTGATACACCGATACTGCACCGTATTTAATTTAATATTATAATTAGATTATTTGATAACAGGGATTAGTATATGTGTATATATATATATATATATATATTTATAAATAGATATAGGCCATATAGCAAGTTAAGTTCAAAAACAAATCGTGGTAGCATATAATTCGAACGCTTGATTAATTAGCTAAGAGTTTAATGACTGGCGCTTGAGGAACATGATTGAAGTTCAAGTTCCGAGTGTATTCATATAAGCATTGTTGCAGCTGTGCCCGCCTCGAAAAGGTTATTGTCTTTTTTTTCCTTGGGTTGTTTTTTTTTTTTTTTGCAGATGGTCAGCGATAATGCTGACTAAATTCTATATATATAATGACCGTTTTTGACTGTTTCTCTTTTCTCTTTATTTGTTTGCTGCTTTTGGTTAAAATATGCTAATAAAACTTGAAATGGATCTGCATTTAAAGAACTGTTTATTATTATTATTTTTTCCTTTTGTTAATCGCGGATTAGCATTTGAATGTAGTTTTGTGTTGTGTGCATGGGTAAAACCGCAAACCAGTTAACATTTTACTGAGGCAACATTTTGTGGAATGAGCAGAATTGTCAGCGGTTTAAGGCGGCAACTACGTGTGGCACGTACACAAACTCAGTTGTGGTGGCAACTACGTATGATCTAGGCTTGTGACTGATTTATTTCTACACTCCGTGGAATCAGCCAAAAATTGGCTTCAAGAGAATGATATGGATGGAAGGACGGCCTACATTCATTTTTCCTGTGGAAAATGTATGGGCAATCATTAAAGGAAAACTGTGAAATTTGCTACACAGTAAATCGCCTAGATTACCATTAAAAAGTCAAGAAATAAACTCCAGAAAACTATTAGTGTTTTATTAATCAATAAATAATAAATATAATGTTTATATTTACATATAGGAATGTGCTAATCAGCTTTAATGAAGCGTTATTGTTTCTGTACGATAAGAGGAATGGTTCAAAATGTTTAGTGCACCAACAAAGTGGTTTGAGTTAAATTAATTTGCTTGGTTCTTTTTATATATAGAAACTTGATATTAAAAATATTTTATTTAACTTTTTAAAAACAATGAAATTTAAAAGTTTTACGAACAAGAATTAGTGGCTTAGGATTTATAAACCTATGTATATATATATTGGCTTATAAACAAATGTATATATGGAATATGTAATAAATGTCGGATTTATATATTTATATTGTGATATAAATAAATGTAAATATGGAATATGTAATAATTGTCAGAAATAGAGATTTTTGACAGCTGAACGCTGCTCAACATATATATAAAGGGAATATGTAATGAATGTCGAACACAGATGTTTTTGGTAGCTGAAGGTAACAAGTTAATTTTTAATCATCAATCAATAACAGTAAATATATTTATTGCCATATTAATATTCTCTCACTTTGTGCTTCACAATCCAATCAATAAATTTAATGGTTGTCTCATCAATTGTACAAAATTAATCGGTAAGCGAAACTAAATAAATTCAAAACCAGTTGAGAGCAGTTAACATACTCAGCATGGACACAAACCACCTATGTTAAGTGACAGTTATGTGCAGAGTTTAAGTTTATGCTAATCTCGACGCACGCGGCGTATGCGTAATATTCTCAAATAATGATCATTATTCAGCTTGAGTCGTTGTTGTTGTTTCTTCTATTTTTGTGAAGATTAAATCATTGTTGGCATGTGTGGCATTTTATTTGTTTATTTTCAAAAGTGAATTTAATTTTTTATATTTGTATTTCAAATGGTAGTTGGCAAATTAGTTGGCTAGTTTCTTCAGCAAGCGGATTTGCACGTTTTGTGATATCGACAACATTCTTATTGAACCCTGCCGATTGTCACCAAATTAGACAAACAGAACAAGAATATATTCTAATCTAATTCCATGTGGGATAAATTAATGTTCATTTAATGTTTAAAAATTCACAAAAACTAATAGAACCGGTTGCATTGAATTTATATTTTATATGCTGTATATTAATATCCTCTTTCCAAAAAAAAAAAATGCGTATAAGGTGTTAAATTTATAAGACGGAGAGATGGACCCATTGATTTCATTATTTATCAACATTTTATGTATGCATATTCCAGCTCTTACTTTCGCATGAAAGTTCTCATATACCCTATCTGAACAAAGTTGATTTTTCCCTTCTCTCTAATCTAGGTATGAATCGATTACCGATTACGTTAAAAACAATCGGCACTTGGGTGCAGGGTATTTACTAGTCGGGCTCTCTCCTCTCGAGTGGAGCACTCTTACTTGTTTTTGATTTTCGATTATTCTAGCTTGGTTTTGTTTGGTTTTTTGGGCGATTTTTGGACAATTCAGCTTATTTCAGTTTCTGACAACAAGCAATAAGTATTTTAGATATAGATATAAATATATAAATAAAATGTAATTAATTAAAAATATATATATATATGCATAAATATCGCACCAACTCCTCTAATTTTTGCAATTGGCAAACCCATAAATAATTATACTCTTATGTGTTCTTATCATTATATTTATTTATGGCTAAGAGATTCAAACTCGTTTAGCGTTCCTCTCTTCTTAAATGTTTTTTTTAGCATTTAATCTCTAATTAAAATGCGATATTTTTTTAAATTCTCGCTCTTATGCGATGAAGTAATCGCAGCTAATTTGTATATGGAACATAATCTAGATTTGACTTCCATTTAAATGCCGGAAACTTGGCTGAAATTAATACAGTTAGATAACGGCTCCTGATAGTTGTAAATTGATAGTTGTAGATCAGCTGGTCAATCAAGATTGCAGTCTCAGAAAGCAAAAGTGAATGAATCTACTGATCATTCTGTTGCTGCTGTGATGATGACGATGATGATGAGTAAGATGCCCCTCAGGGTCATTGAGAATCACATTTACCACGCAACGACTAACGGTCGCAACTGCTGACGGATTACCGATGAAAACCAGTCAGACGCGGGCATATTTATTGTTCTGCCACGTAGTACAAAAAAATAGTTGCTTCGCTGAAATTTTAATATTTTGGTTTTCGATATTGTGAGGTGGCGGGGAAGACCCACACAGAACGTGTTCTATGTTGAGCCAAGAATAAGCCCAACTCTTGTATTTACATAAGCTCACAAAACTAAAAAATTTGATCATCTGATACCATGTGAAAGATTATAATATTTTTACAGAGAGATAGGTACACATTAAATGGGAATATTATTTGTAAAAGAATGACCAAAGTATATAAATACGAAGCATTATTCTGTTGTAGTACTTTGTTAGCCTTTATACTTGTTGGAAAGGTAATTCAATTACCTTTAATATCAGATTTCATATATAGGAAAACTAAAACAAAAAAAACTCAATTCAAACTACTTTGAAATATTTTTAATAACATTAAGACTTTATTCAAATTCCCGATCAATAAAAGAAAAACAAAAGAAAAACAGTTAAATGAAGAAACATTTTAAGTTGAGCTGTTGACTGCTGACGAATTGCCGATGAAAACCAGTTAAAGACACATTTATTTTAATTCATATAATTTTAAGCCAAAAAAATTGTGAACGGTGAAGACCCGCCTAGAACGCGTTCTATGTTGAGCCTAGAACCAACACACATTTGTATTTTGCATAAGCTCACAAAAATAGAATTATAAAATAAATAATTTGAGCATGTGATACCCTGTAAAAGGTTGGTTTATTTTTCAAAAATTAAATAAAAATGTCACCCAAAAAAAACCAAAAAAAAAATATATATATTTAGATTTGGTTATATTTGAATGGAGTTATGTCTACAAGTATATCACTCTACCAAGCCGTAATCAGAACCATAACTTTTCGGATTAAAAATTTCAGAACCGGAATTGAAATTCAACATTTTTTAAGGAATGAGTGTTCATTCATAATTGACACCCTATAAAGCACCAAATATTTTATAGCCCCACATAAAATTCAGCATTTCTAAAATACCCTTTCTCAATTACAAGCTACGAGGTATATTTTTCAAAAAGCAAATCAGCAACTTGTTGATTATGGTACTTTGTTAAAAACTACCCGAATTTTGATCAAAATTAAACAAAATTTATGTATGCTAAAAAGATCTATTTTTGTTACAGAATTGGAGACAAAAAACGAATCCCTTATTAATTGGAAGCAGAACAATCTTTAGATCATTTTAATTAAGCATATATAAATATCAATAGAATACGTATGGATGTGCTTTTTATTTGATAAAGTGCCTTAGTTCAATGCTCGCTTAGCATTGAGTGGAGCTTGATTAGATTATGCCTGCGTCAGTGATCTCAACATTAAGCTACAGCTTGATCGACTACAACACACAAATACCATGATCCCAAGTATCTTAAAATTTTTTATTTTTCTTTTTGGCGAGGCCAGTTTTAAGTTGAGTTAATTGCGTGCTAACCAACAAATCAACGTTCAAAGTTTTTTTTTTGTCTTTATTGATAAGCAACAACTAGTATTCATATTAATGTTTGCATACCACTGCTGTTCAAGAGTCGACAGCTGGACCAGAATGCCAATCCTCTAGTTCAAATGTGGAATGTCCAGAATTAAAGGTCACCACTGAGCCCTTCTTCCTTTCAAACTGGTTTCACACCTCACACACACACACACACACACACGCACACATGCACACCTACATATGTATGTGACCCAGTGTTTTACATGCGAAGGTTGCAACCAGATTTGCAACTGTCGTCTCTGGACTTGTTGCCTCTGAGTAATTGAGGATGACCCTGTCTCGGAGTGTAGAGTATCTGAGTACAGTCTATCAGACTTGTAAATCATACAAATTCTGTGGATTTAATATTCAATGGGTTCTCATAAATAAAACATGTATTCATTTAGATCGATTTGCTATTTCATTTCATAACCATAAAATGCCATATATTTTATGTGATAAGCCTGTCACACCAGTTTTTTTTTTTTAATAATGAGCTTCTCTGTTCAAAAATAAGATTGGGACGTTGTTGTTCTAACAGGAACATCAGCTCCATATATGCATGATACATTTATGGAGTCGATATTCTTCTATAAAATATTTAATAAGTTAGCTGATTATTTCCTTATGCAGTTTTCTATACAATATACACTAGAATTTGGGGCATATTAGAACAAAAAGCAGAATTATTGAAGGATTTCGGACTTGATTATTCAAAAGAGTATTCGCTTATTCGCTTATGCGAAACTTTCTTAAGCAGTTTTGTAGTTTTTAGTTATTCAATTTGACTGGCTATCATCTCGGTATTTCATTGTGCTTAAATCTAAAACGCTTTGGGATCTACCCAAAAGAGTGAACAGAATTCATAATAAAATTATGGGTGTCGATTCTGTTGTCATAGCCGGTTAGTTATCCAACCCAATCAGGTTCGGTTAATTTTTTTTTGACTCGGCAACCGCTAATCGATGACGGCTATTTTACTATTGTTGTTGTCGAGAAGATTCTGCCTGCTTTTGCCGAAAATCATATTTTGGATTGTTGAAGCGGTCCTGAAGCGACAACGCCGACGACGACGACGTCGTATATATAATGTCGTACTCTTCAGCAGCAACACAGTAATATTTCAACCTTCGTGTTGTGAATTTCAAGCTGAGCAAAATGGTAAGCAACAAATACAAAAAACTAAATAAACATAAAATAAAATATACAAAACACTGTGCAAATAATACAAGAGGATAACTGAGCTGTGAAAAAAGCAATAATAAAAAAATGGAATGTAAAACCAAACTAAATGTGAAGCAAACATATTTGCTTGATATCAGCTGTCAAATGTGATTTTTAGGACTATTGAATTACCTTGCCAAGTGTGAATTGTGCTAATAAATCAATCCCAATCCCCATCCCAATACCAATCCCCATCATAAATCCCAATCGATTGCTCTCGTTCTGCAGAAACTCCTGATCGCCCTCGCTTTGGTGGCAGCCGTCAGCGCTGATGTTTCCCATCTGTTCTCGCACAGCGATAACCTGCAGGATGATGGATATCATTATCAGCAGCCTGCCAAGCAGTTCGAAGTGCAGCAATACCATGAGTCTGCACCAGCTCCAGTCTACCACGCACCCGCTCCCGTAGTTCATCATGCACCCGCTCCAGTTTACCACGCACCTGCTCCAGTGGTCCATCATGCACCCGCTCCAGTTTACCATGCACCTGCTCCAGTGGTTCATCATGCACCAGCTCCAGTCTACCACGCACCCGCTCCTGTTGCCCATGTGGCTGCTGGAACTCTGAAGGAGGATGGCTACCATTATCAGCAGCCTGCCAAGCAGTTTGTCATCGATGTGCCCCAATACCATGCGTCTGCACCCGCTCCAGTTCACCACGCACCCGCTCCAGTGGTCCATCATGCACCCGCTCCAGTGGTCCATCATGCACCCGCTCCAGTTTACCATGCACCCGCTCCAGTAGTCCATCATGCACCAGCTCCAGTGGTCCATCATGCACCCGCTCCAGTGGTTCACCACGCACCAGCTCCAGTGGTCCATCATGCGCCCGCTCCAGTCTACCACGCACCAGCTCCAGTCTACCACGCACCCGCTCCAGTCTACCACGCACCCGCTCCTGTTGTCCATGAGGCTGCTGGAACTCTGAAGGAAGATGGCTACCATTACGGCAAGCCCTCCGTCAAATTCGAACCTAAACAGGAATACCTGCCCCCAGTTGTCCACAAGCCCGCTCCAGTGTACCAGCCAGCTCCTGTTGTCCACAAGCCTGCTCCAGTCTACCACCCAGCTCCTGTAGTCCACAAGCCTGCTCCAGTTGTCGTTAAGGAGTACTTGCCCCCAGTTGTTCACAAGCCAGCTCCCGTTGTCCACAAGCCCGCTCCAGTCTACCAGCCAGCTCCCGTTGTCCACAAACCTGCTCCAGTCTACCACCCAGCTCCTGTTGTCCACAAGCCTGCTCCAGTTGTTGTTAAGGAGTACTTGCCCCCAGTTGTTCACAAGCCAGCTCCCGTTGTCCACAAGCCTGCTCCAGTCTACCAGCCAGCTCCAGTTGTCCACAAGCCAGCGCCTGTCTACCACCCAGCTCCTGTTGTCCACAAGCCTGCTCCAGTTGTTGTTAAGGAGTACTTGCCCCCAGTTGTCCACAAGCCTGCTCCAGTCTACCAGCCAGCTCCAGTTGTCCACAAGCCAGCTCCAGTCTACCAGCCAGCTCCAGTTGTCCACAAGCCAGCGCCTGTCTACCAACCAGCTCCTGTTGTCCACAAGCCCGCTCCCGTCTACCGTCAGCCAGAGCCTGTCCATCATGGCCACCAGGACTACAGCTACCCCAACGACCCTCAGCCTTCTTTCGATTTTTAAGAAATGCTTGTTTTAATTAGAAACTATTCTCCTCTAGTATTAAATGCTTTTTTCGAATGAGAAGTCACTAGAAACAAATAAAAACGAAACATAATAAAACGATTTATTCGATATTTGCAATTGGGGGAGCGATGAAAATGGAATGGCCAAAATGGGGAAAATATTTTGCAAAGTTAAGAAAAATAAGTAATATATATTCTCGAAAATTATAAAAAAATATATCTAGCAAGTGCAAAGGTCCTACAGAGTAAGTCTTTTGTGTCTTGTGAGTATCTAGAAAACTAGTAAACATCTTGCTTTTATGCTTATATATACATATGTATTCCTTAATAATAACATTAATGGATGCATGTTCACCAAGGAATGAGATTTAATGCTCGCAACTCCTTATTTGTTCTTATAAGATTCCTTCACTTAACATAGTTCAGTTGCACATGTGTCGTATTACTTTATAATGTATCGGTTAGTACTATGTTCATATTGAATAATAACATATACTAGAATAAGACTACTTGCTAGAACAATAAAAATAAGATTTTAAATAATTGTTGCACGAAATATGTGTAATTCTCAGCTGTAGTCTATCAAAGCGCTCTCTATCGGTTGAATAAGTTATCAGTATCGCCCCTTTATATACTATGGAACTTTGACAACTATAAAAAGTCTAAAAGTATGCTACAAAAACCTCAATAAATCTAGCCCATTAACAAACCAATAACCTTAAGCAAAAGGTGGTCAAGTCTGTATATTTGTGTATTGACCAAGAAACTAACAGGCAAGAAAAGAATTACGATTGGAAAAAAAGATCAAAGCTGCCAGCGGGAGAGTGAGAAAGATAGATGAAGAGGCAGAGAGAGATAAAGAGAAGAGCAGCCTAACTCACCGAGAAGTCAAAGTCAAAGATCAAAAGTTTGACTCGACTCGCTGTCGAAATGTTGAAACGCTTTTATTTGCTTTAGATGGGGACAGCTGGGAGGTTGTTCGACTTTTGGATCTCTCTTGGGTCAATATTTTGAGATGTGATCTCTGTTCAGGGCTGTCAGCACGTTGAGCTGTGATGAGATGCAAAAGTGTCCAAAGCTGACAGAGACAAATCGACTACGATCTAAAATCGATTGACAATAAAGCCACAATGAAACGGAAATGTGCTCAAGCTGTTGACTGAATGATTCAAATTTGAATTGATTCTAGCTTTGCGACAAGATGATGAAGCTGCTGCTGCTTAAGTAGGCAGTTTCAATACTCGTGCATAGAATCAATAGATAGAGAGAGAGACAGATAGAGAAGGCAAGAGAAGAGCCGAGCAGAGCAGAGAGGAGACCCAAGAAACGAACGCACTGACACTTGACCCCACATCAAGCCAAACAAGTCTCGACCTTGACAATGAGGCGCATACTTTTTCAAATCGAATCAATTCGATTGGATGGCCCCAAACATCATACACGAGCTGACTATTTTTGTTTTTTTTTTTTAGTGATTGCTTGTTTATCTAGGGCCGCTACAACTATCGCAATCTGACAAAGAAACAGCAGCAGCTGAACAGCAGCAGCATCCAAAGCAAACGGCACAATTAATAAACTGAGCGAAAAACACGCTCGATATTTAGAAGTATAAATAGTTTGAGTCTCCACAACGCTGACTGCATTCGCGTCAGACCCGTTGCTGGAAGCGATAAAACGTTTATTTATTCTTTCAGATTGTAGCATACCCCCACCCCTCCAACATACCAGTTAATAAAATGGTAAAAAAAAAAATACTACTTTTAATAATATTACTATTAATATTTGTACAACATATTTTTTTTGGCTCTTAGCGTTTGTTGTTTTGGTCGCTGCTGGCGGCACTTTGTCTGCAGCATTGTGTTTTGGCCGATGTTTCGCAACTGGTTCGGTCGGGCAATGGGTTTGTGTACGATGTGCCCAAGGTCCATGAGCTGCAGCTGGAGCTGAACAATGAATTTCCCACTGGTGATGAGTTTCCCCAGGACGCCATACCCGTTGCACCCTCCGATGCGGAACTGGGTCTGGCCGAGGATCTGCCCGAGGTGGTGGCTGCCAGCCATGATAGCGCTGCCTATGCCTCATCTAAGGGTCATGGCTATGCCTATCGTGTGCCGAGCAGACGCTTCATCGAGCGTTAAACCTTTATTAATTTATATACCTATAAATTTCTTTGTACCAAAGTTCAATCACAATAAAAACAACAAAAGTTAGAATGCCCGACTAGTAGATACCCTGAAGACAACTGTTGAATGCTTGATGAAATTTGTACAGTTGATAAATAATATAATTATTACTACTTTCCTTATCAGTAACGTTTAAAAATTTTTGGTTTTATTTGGGGTTTTTTTGCATTTTCTCAATTCTTGCAATACATATTGAATAACTATAATCATAGCTTCTGTAGTTAACCTTTCGCCAACCAAACGGCTACAAGGGCTTCAGCTTGCCTTGACAATCGCTTAGAATGATAACCACGGTGGACAATATTGATATATATTTATTTATTTATATTGTATTCTAATAAACACATAACGCTTTAAGCAGTCTGTATTTGTATTTGCTCATGCCATATATGAACACATTTTGAGTTAAGAATCTGACAATTTCGCAAACGTTTTAAACACTTGTCAGCCTATGAATATATTTTGTGGGTTGTGTGCAATTAATTAAAATGATTTACATAAATTACGCAAAAAAATGTTGTGACTAAATGCGAGCAGCACAAAAACTCAAATTTAAAATCAATTTTATTAGTGTTGCTTCTTCTTTTTTTGGTAATCGATCAAAGCCGCTGGCGGTTCAACAACCCGCATTAATTAGCCAACAAGCAACGACGATAAGAAAACAAGAAAAATGAAAAGTGATTGTTGAAACACAAGACAAGATGCCAGCCGAGCAGCTTTGACTGCTTTAGACTATCTAAAAAAAATGAGATCTCCGATCTGCGATCTCTGTTGTTATTAAATGATTCGTGACTTCTAAATTCTAATTAGTGGAGCTTTGCGCAAAGTGTCGCTCAGTTTAAGGCAGCTTATGTCGCCCTACAATAATATGTAGGTGTGCTATTTAAATAGGTAGCGGACTTTTGATGGGTGTCTTAAGTACGCGTTTGATCCGCAAACGCTTCCGCAAGCTTTAAGTGCCATATACATACAGCAAATAAATAAAGAGAGACAACTTCATTGTTTTGCTGGGGCCATGAAATCTTGACCAATCCAACTTCTTGAGCGACGCAGCGTAATTATTATAAATGAACTCAAATGATTTATGACAGATAGACAGCGCAGTGCGCTTACAACGCAACCAGCGGCGGAACTGAATCTCTGTATCTATAGCTGTATCTCTGTATCTGTATCTGTATCTGTATCCGTATCTGTGTCTTTAGCCACAGCTCGGAAGCACAAGCAACAACAATAGCACGCATTAACAACAATGGCAACAAGAATTCAGACTCTTTATGACGTTGAGTCGCTGCTGATGGAAATATGCTCACGAGCATTTATGTTAAAAGCCGTTAAGATGCTACACAAAAGCATTTATTTTAAACTATTTAAATCTAGTCGAGCGACCTCGACTGGAAGTTGCCCTATAAAAGAAAATTAAGCTAGTTGAAATATATAAAATCGCCAATTGTGGCTCAACTTATAATTGAGTAACGAGGAGAGACACCACCAGCAATCGATATCGGCAGAGGCACAACATTTCACATATATCAAACTGCCAAATATCTATTGGGTAGCTATAAGCAAAAACAATTTAATCAAGTATTATTTATGGGCATGAACATTGTGAATAGACTAAGAAGCCAACTACTGAATCTGTCGAGAATTCCTCAATAGACATCATTGCTGAATATGTCGTTTCAACCAGAAAATATGTAGTATTCCATGGAAAGGAAAGGCTCAATAGATATCACATTACTTTAGCTAACGTCAACAGGTATCTCTGTCTCGATCTTGACTGATCAAGAATATATATGTATCTAATAAGAACAAAACTATTTTCTGCACAATGTTACATAGGTATGCATGCATTCAACACACCCAATTTGGTCATTCTTAAAGGGTACAACATCACCGACGCAGGCCCCCAAAACGTAAATAATGCATAATGACTCAACAACAACAAAATACCGATACATATGCAGATAGACATACGTATGTAGATACAGAAACAGATACAGATACAAAGAATACCCAATTTGTGCATGTACATAATATACAATATAATATAATATACAATATAATAATTGAGTAGCAGCATATCGATTTAAATAATAATGTTGTCCATGGACATGGACAACACAAAATGTATTGTGTCTTGTGTCTTGTCGCTCAAGTCTAGAATTGTGACTATAAAAAACAGGTGCTTTTGAAATTTGACAATCATTGAACGTCTTCGAGCTCAAGGTGTAACATGGTGCGTGCTGAACTGACTAAATACTATATAGATATATATTCTATATGCCATAACTGAGCTGACCTGTCATTCTTAACTTGTTTGTTATTTGCAGAACGCATTGTTGAGCTACTTTTTGGTCAGTTGCCTGCTGGCTTTGGCCGCTGCGGATGTTTCGCATCTACCACTTGAGCAGCTGGAGCAGCACTCGGAGAATGAGCATGGCTATGGCTATGATTATCCCAAGCCTGTGGTGCCATTTGTCATAGAGGCCACCACAACGCCGCCACCGACACCAGCGCCCACCTATCTGCCACCGCCGAAACCAGTGCCCACTTATCTGCCACCAGTCATCATCACAACCACAACTACGACGACGACACCTGCACCCACGCCAGCACCCACCTATCTGCCACCTGTCATTGTGCCCGAACCACAGCCGGGCTATCACTACGATCCACCCTCAGAGCCCTTTCACTTTTAGGCTGCACCACCCAAGCAACCCCACCTGTTGACTATTTGCCCCGGAATGCTGTTTGTACCGTTTTTCACTAGTCCCCTAATTTTCCATGTTATATAAGTTGAAATAAATCACTAAAATTTGTTAATCAAATTGAAAATTTCCTTCTATTTTTATACATACTTTGCATATTGATGAACTCATTTTGTGTGTGTGTGTGCGCGTGTGTGCGTATGTGTGTGCGTGGCAGACCTAATTTTGTTTAATTGCTCGGCCCGAAAAAAAGAGATGTGTGTGTGGACCCCATCAATAATTGGACTGGCCCAGCTGCAAGTTCAAGAAAACCCAAAAAAGAAAAGTGTAAAACTGGCCAATTATGCGTGTTAACCTTTTGTATTTCTTTTTGGTAACAAACGAAAAGCGACAAACGAAAAACGACAGTCAATAATTATTTTCATGTGTGTTTGGGAGCTGCAGCGTATAAAAGACAAAACGTCAACGGGTCAAAGCATTAATTCAGCTTGTCAGTTGGACAGCAGCACAACCAAGTTGCCCACTCAACACAAAAAAATGGTAGCTAATAAAAAATAGCTCTCTTTTCTCGGCTGAGCCCTTAACTCTTAACTCTTTTCTCTTTCTCGTTTTTTATCTATTAGAAAAACTTGGGCATCCTTTTGGCCTTCTTGGCCTGCTTGGCCATTTGCCGTGCTGACGTTTCCCACTTGTTTGGCGGTGGCGGTGGTGGCCATCACAATCATCACGATTCACACTCGCACCAGCACGTGGATGCACATTCTCACCACCACGTGGATGCCCACTCACACCATCACGAGGATCTGCACTCGCACCATCACGAGGATCTGCACTCGCATCACCACCACCACGAGGACACACACTCGCATCACCACCACCACGAGGACCCACACTCGCACCATAACCATCAACAGCAGCATGGTTCCCACATGCTGCACATCGATGTGCAATTCGATGAGCCGCGTCAGCTGAATGGGGCGGGCGGCGGTGGCTACAGTTATCCAGCACCAAAGCCCGAGTATCTGCCACCACCATCGCCACCACCATCGCCACCACCGAAGCCACCAAGCAACTTGTATTTGCCAGCCGAAAAGCCCGCTGCCAAATATTTGCCACCCAAGGTGGCACCATCGCTGCCACCACCACCACCACCGCCACCAAAGAAGGCGCCCAAGGCATCGTATTTGCCACCAGAGAAGCCACGCACGAAATACCTACCCCCTGCACAGCCAGAGGTGAAATATCTGCCCCCTCCAAAGCCAGAGAAAGTCTATCTGCCCGCAGCTCAGCCAGAGAAGAAGTACTTGCCACCCAAGATTCCACCAAGTCTGCCCCCACCGCCTCCACGACCTGAGCCCAAGCAAACCTATCTGCCACCTGCACAACCGGAGACGCAGTACTTGCCCCCAGCTCAGCCGGATTCGAAGTACTTGCCCCCAGCTCCAGCTGAGCCTCGTGTGTCTGCCTTTCAGCCCAGTTTTCACATACCAATTCCATCGTATGCTCTGCCCCTGAGCAGCTCCGCCCCGGGTTACAGTTACAATCCGCCGCAGCGTCGCTTCAAGTTCTAAGCGGAGATGCAGTTTATTTAAAAGTGATTGCTCCCTCTCCGCTATCCTTGCAGCCCTTTTCCCAAAAAAAAATTAGCTCATAAGCAATGCATTTAATTTGTAAGTAGTCTGGCGAAAATAAATCAACAAATATTTCAATGATTAATCGCTTTTGATTTTTGTAATTTTCACACAGTATTGAAAGTTTGTAAAAATCGGTATTTAAAAATTGTATCACAGTTAATTAACTTGCATCTATTTTGTAATCATCAAAATTGTTTTGAAAGTTAATAAAAATTATTTCAATTCATCTTTAATTTACCGGTTTACATCAGCCAAAAAAAAGTTATTGCAACTGAACATAAGTAGAGAAAGAAACTAGACGAGAGAATGCTCAACTATAAGATTGATTTTGAATGTCAATAAAATAGACTATTGGCTCAGCTTTCTGTTCCTGTTCTGATTTGATCCCGTGATTTTCTTTATTTACAATTATAACAGCTTATCAATATAATTTCAACTAATGATTTCAAAGCTGAGCATCTGTGAAGAGTATTAGCTAGTTAAAAATGCTCAGTTTTCAATCAACTTACTCAGTTTGAATAAAAGGTTTAATCTTAAATAATAATTAAAAAATAATAACTAAATAATAATAACTCAAAAATGGTACAAAATACAAAATAAATATAATGGGTCATTAGTATTTTGAGCCACTTAAAAGCCACTTGGCTTGGTGTTAAGTTCAGGTAGCCACATCAGCTAATGCAGCTCTTTCGAAAAAAAATCGAAAGTCATGAAATACAATTAACAGTAAAATGAGACCAGCGTTCGATATATAGTCGCCATAGCTTTCGGTATGTATATGATGCACTTAGCGGGGAAATGGGTCAGCGAGCGAACGTCAAAACAAGAGTTCAATAAAAAAAACAAAAGAAATAACTTAAAAAGTCGACTTCAGTTTCGATTTCAGTTTCGTTTTCATTCGGAACGTCATCAGCAATTGCCATACGATAATTATTGATTGAAAATGAATAATGAATGCGTGGTGTTGTTGATTGGAGCCTGGCTTCAGTAACTGTTATTAGCATATATTTTTTCTTTGTTACAAATACATTTGAGCAAATCGCTAATTGCCAATTTCTGCCGGCAGCGTTGAACTTGATTTTGTTGACCTCTTTCAGCGCCAAGATGATCATCATCGAACCATCGAATCAATACTCTAAAAAAAAATGTTAAATCAATAAAACCTAAACTCTTTGGGCATGTGGAGAGCAAGCTCCAACATAAAGAAGATATTTTTTTTGAATATCCATTTTAAATGGGAGGCGTTTATTGCCCGTCAGCTATAAACCAGAAAACGAGAAACAACCGCTATTTGTGCGAGTTGTCGAATGCATAAATACCCTAGCGGAAATAATATAATATGACAGCTCTATACGATATTGTCTGCATAAAATATTGACTTACTTGATAAAAGAATAAATTATTGCAACTATTTTAAATGACTCATCTTTTGTATGCTGCTAAATTAATATCAATACTAATCAGTTGGACTGATAAGCCATCAGACAATGAAATAGACTTATTGAGTTAGTTTTTGTTTTTATGTAGTTTTAACAATATTCAAATTTATTAAATATTTGTTTTTGTTTAGTTTGGATTATGAAGAGTCTCAGGCACTAATTTGAATCTGAATTAAAAAACAGGACGGTGATTTAATATGATTGGCAGAGGTAAAGCTTACGAATTGGTTCCACATTTTTTATAATATTGGTTCTTGTAACTGGTTCTTAAAATATGTTGAATTTCCGTTCCGGTTTCACATGTATGCCACTAGTTGAGTCTAATTAAAATCCAGAGCTATAAATATAATATACCCCTTAAATGCGGTACTCTTTTCATATTGCCCCATATTTTAGGGTATTACAAACTATATTGCCTCAGTTTATACATGGTCCATTACCATTCCAGAGGCTTATAATTAAGTGCAGATCCGCGATTTGATGTCCGCTTCACGCGGCGACAAAAACAAAGCAAATCGTCAATCGCATAAGGCGATTGGAAATTCAGAAAAAAAACTCATTTAATAGAATTTAAAATGCGAATAACGGCTGTCCCCCCAAAGAGGGGGGGAAAACAACGCATCGCTTCAAGCTGTCAGCAGCAGCGATTGAAGTCGGCGTCGGCGTAGACTGAAATGGAGACTGAAATTGAGAGACTTGAGTTCAGTTCAGACTTCATTGATCTCGCGATTCTCGCTCATTGTATATAAATAAAGAAGCACTTCCCGGTAACTGTATCATTTCAGAGCCGGTCATCGCATCGAGAACATTGTCTAAGAACTGCTCAACAGATCCCAAAAATATAAAATGGTTAGTATACAAATAATAAATATTTAAAGTAATTATTTAAACTGTATCTATCTCTGTTTCCTTTAGAAAGTCCTGGTGCTCGCTTTATGCAGTTTGGCTTTGGTAGCCGCTGATGTTTCCCATCTCTTTGGAGACGATCATCATCATCACGAGGATCATCATCACCATCACGATCATCCTGGCTACAACTATGAGGCACCCAGCATACCCTTTGACCTGCCAGCCAAGGCGCCAGAGTCGACTTATCTGCCGCCAGCACAGCCCAAGCCTGAATATCTGCCACCTGTGGCAGCACCTAAGCCTGCCTACTTGCCACCTGTGGCACCAGCACCCAAGCCTGCCTACGTGCCACCCGTAGCTGCACCCAAGCCTGCCTATGTGCCACCTGTAGCAGCAGCACCTAAGCCTGAATATTTGCCACCTGTGTCAGCGCCCAAGCCTGCCTACTTGCCACCTGTAGCACCAGCACCCAAGCCTGCCTATGTGCCACCTGTAGCAGCACCTAAGGCTGAATATCTGCCACCTGTGGCAGTAGCACCCAAGCCAGCCTACGTACCTCCTGTAGCAGCACCCGTTCATCAGCCAGAGAGCAACTACTTGCCACCAGCCCCTGCCAAGGTCGCTGCTCCTGTCCCCAGCTTTAAAATACCGATTCCCTCGTATGCTGCACCACTGGAACCGGACAACACGTATCTGCCACCACAGGAGCATGTGGAGCCACACAGTGAGGATGGTTATCATTACGATGCACCCGCCAAGCGTTTCTCCTTTTAGCCACAAGTGATTGGCCAACCTCAATGTGTATATACTTATATGTATTCTAACTGTAAATTGTAAATTGCCCAGTTGCTTATTTATAATTCTAAAAAATATAAAACAAACAAAAACACCGAACTCAAAACTTGAACTTCAACCGAGGGCATAAATCCTCATTGATTCCAATGCAATGACAACATAATTATATCTAAATGTGAATAATACTCAAATAACAACTCCAAAATAGAAACCGTTTCATTCATGGGCAAAGCTAGTTTGTCAATCTATCAATCTGTCAGTCTGCTCGCATTTAAACACCCACAACCGCGAACAAATTAAACAACGCCAGTAGAGACAGCTCGACTCGGATATACCCTGTTGAATAACTATTAGATGTGCTCAATAAGAAAATACCTTTTGGTTAGAAAAATCTGTGCTTCTTAACAAAGTGACTTTTATTGCAACCGATTATCGTATGGTATTTATATATTTAAGAAATGTAGACTTGAAGAGTTCTTTAAATAAAGATAAAGATGAAGAATTTAGCTAATCTGAGATAATTAAACTTCTTTCCAAATTTAAGTCTCTATCTCTGAGATCAACTTGTTGATGCAGACGGACAGGTGGACTTGGCTAAATCGACTCCACTGATCAAAAATATATATAGTTTGTGGGGTTTGTCTGCTGCATCATACCCATTTGCAGGGCATAGAAGCACACTTCTCATCCAAAATTCCGTATGATTTGGGTTTTTGATTTTGTGGACCGTTTGCTCATTTGTTAATAAGCGTGAGTAATTGGAAGCTAGCAGCAAAAATTTGATTCTTTATGGCCCCCAATGGAGCTGATGATTTATGGTCAACAGCCAGCACAAACGTGGCCCATTGTTTTCGGCCACAAAATGTGTGAAGATGCCACGCCCCGCCCCCTCTCCGAACTTAAGCGCCCACTGGCTACCAATGCGTGAAAGTGAAATTAATGCGAAGAGGAAACGAATAATAAACTGTGTTTAATTTTAGTTGGCACTTTAATTTCAACGGAAACTTGTTGACAAACTTCATTTTCTATTTCAGGCATAATCGAATGCTAAATTTTTGCAGAACCAGTTCATTCACTTTTCTGATATGCTAATTAATTAGTTAATTTTCAATTTAAAGCCTTAAATGTTTTCATTCTACAATTGATATTGCGTTTTGGAAGCACCGTTTAATATAAAATATATACAAGCCATTAATTATAATGATTCCAAGTTCCCTGTTCTACTAGCTATTAATTCTGTTCATTTGGCAACTGGTTTCTAATTCTTCCTCTTCAGCTTCTTGTTTGTTTTAGTTTGTTATGAAACTATTCGATTAAGTTATGCAAGAATTTAATCAGCGTTAAATAAAAGAGAAAGGTTTCCAAACTCCAGTAAATTGAGCGCAAAAATATACAAAATAGACAATCAGTTTATAAAATCGTAGATTTTATATTGATTATCAATAATATGTGTACGAAAAGTATAGCATACATAGAAGCTGATGAACAGATAAATAATCAGCTCTCCATTCTATGTACAAATATTTTATTCTGTGTACACAACAAAATAACTGCCATTCATTTAAGAAATTAAAATTCCCTTTAAGGCATGAATAATAATTTCCCAAAAATCATAATCGATTTTCATAAGTGCGACCTTTTTGTCATGGCTCGACTCCCAGTCTTAAAGCTGTCTGTTACATAACTTCATTAACGGCTAGAGGATATAAATACGCAAAATAAATTGAATATTCGATTTTTTGCCATACGAGTTACAGAATATCAATGTACAAGTCGGCTACGATTTTTTTATTTCTGATCACGGTTTGACCTCTAAATTAATCATACATTTGAAGTGAAAGATGTGATTTTTAGAAAAGTCTATGAATTGGCTTATAAAATAAGCTTACACAATTTATTTAGCAAAGGGTTGAGGCATCTTTGAGCACACATAAGACCGAATAAGGTGTTTCTTAAGTGCTTCTGCTTTTATCTACAAGCTAAACAATCACAAAGTTCTCTCAGCTCAAAAACAAACATCGGCTTTTGTCAGTGTTTAGACGTTGTTTGTTTTTATAAAATAAATTGTTACTTACTCAAAACTGTTGCCAACTTTTAGGCATCTTTTTGAGTATCCTAAAGATATGCTTTAAAATCATATCTTTGATTGGATTACTATTTATAAATACACAAAAGAAATCAAGCTATAAATAGTTTCCATTTGAAATCTGCGTATAAGCCAATTTAGATCTGCCGATCACTGATGAACAATAAGTGGGTTGACATATTCAAATTCAGATTGTGGTAAATCAAAAGTAGAAGGTCAACAATTGTCTGAAAGAAGTCTTACAACAATCTTGACGCCCAATCAGCAGCCATTAAATCGATCCAATAAAAAAAAGCAATAAATTCATCAATCAATAGCACTTTGTCCAGAACTAGATGAATAGCTGAACAGTTAGAAAGGCTCCTACAATCTTGGTGACTATCGAGCAGAAGCAACAAGCGGAATAACATCAGATCTTAAACCGGTTAATTGAATTTATTTCTGAAAGTATTTTGGCAGACTTACGTATTTATTTATGTGCCGAACTATTAAAAATCCCCATTCTAAATCGCCACTTATTTTTTAGTTAAACCTTCTTTTAAATTCCTTGGATATATTGCGCATCTATTCCAGGTTTAGTATACCCTGAAAAACTGACAAAAGTGTATAATGAAGTTAAGCAAAAGTTTGTCACGAAGTGAAAGGAAGCAACTCGAATTCCATATGATATATATATATATATTCTTGATCAGCATCAACAACTGAGTCAGTTCACTTATGTTTAAGGACTTCAAATATGGATTATGATGACTTTTAAATCGATGCAAAGCAGTGATCGTTAGCAATAAAGACCACAATTGTTAATTTATAGCCTTCCAATTGATTTTTGATATACCCAGACTTTTTATTGAACAACTGTAAGTAGAAGGTATCTTAATATTGAACAAAATACGTTCAGCAAGCATTTAACAGGTATTTAACAGGGTATTTTCTAGTGGAGCTGCCTTCGACTGGAGCATTTCAACTTGTTTTAACTGTTGGAATAATTCTCAGGCCGTAACCTGAAATATTAGCAGCAGCTTCCGTATGCAAAAATAGTACTCAGTTTTCGGAGACACACAACACACACACTCAAACACACACATTTATAATGGATTCTTCATAAATCGTGATTAATGATGAGTGACTAACTACCAGTCAGAAGGCATTCAGAGTTCTCAGCGGTGGCAATCATGAAAATCAGAACGAATCTCGCACATTATTTCGACATACATTTCAATTTTTGTGTATCGTTTGACGAGCTGTGAATACTGTAATTAAAGTCATGCCTCGATATGGTGTATCATTCAAAGACCTTGTAGAAAACAAATAAAACATAACCATTTGAATTTTTTTTCTCTTTTTTCACAAATAATTTATCTTTATTTATTCGAGTTTGCAATTCAACAATAACTAAATACTTTGACTCGAGTTCGTTTTCGATTTCGATTTCATCTTCATTTGTCTCTTTGTACTTTTGATGTTTAGTATTTTGTTATTTTGTGTGCGTGGGAAGAAAAAACGCACAGCAACGGCATTGTTAAAGATTTGGATTAGGATGCGATAGTTGAGGATATAGATTGGATAGTTGAGGATTAAAGCTAAACGTTTTGCAGTTCCAAGCGAGCATTTAGAGTGTAGAAAGCGGGATCGGGAACAGAAATGGGAAATGGAAAGAGGAGAAAGGAAAAAGATATATATGTATGTGTATATGTATATGTAAATAAAAACGAGAAGAAATTGATATTGAGTATTAGGTATATATTAAATAGACAATGTTAATATGCTAGAGGCCCTGTCTTTAATAGCGGCGCTGACGATAGAAGCGTCTTACATAGACTGGACGACGATATTGATAGCCGCTCTGGCTGCTGTACGCATGTCCTGCCACCTGTGGCGCCAAATGCTGCACACGCTGCTGCAAAATTGGCTGCTGCAACTGCTGCAACTGCTGATGCACCTGTGGCACCAAATGTTGCACACGCTGCTGCAACTGAGGCTGGGCATAGGCAAAGTTCTGGGCGATGGCAACGGGCCGGGCAATGGGACGTGCCTGCGTCAGTACTGGTCGTTGCACGGGATGTGCCACAGGACGTGGCGCGGCAACTGGTCGTGCTGGTGCCGGTGCCGGTGCCGGCTCATCGATATCAATGTACTCAGGTTCGGGTGTGGCAATGTCCTGCGGATTCGGTCCCTGTGTAGCAGAGTCCGGCAACTGAGCACAAGCAGCGCAGCCAAGCAGCGCCAGAGCAATAAAAACGAACAGTTTCTGCCACAAATAAGAAGCAAAACAATATTTTGAGTTTGAAATGAACAGCAGAATATCATTAATAGTATTTTTAACAGTAAATAATATTTACAGTGCTGCAATGCAACCTGCAGCTTAAAGCCATGTCTTCATTCGTCGGCTCAGTTAGTTAAGGCAGTTAAGTATTTTCTAGACCAAATGTAAAGCCTTTCATCCTCACTTGCATCTTTACATAAGGGTGCTCACTTTAAAGGTTGTTTCTACACTACTGATCAGATCAGACTTTGAGGCAGTTTCCTTTAAAAGCTATAAGTTGATTGAATTGTTTTTTATAACCTAAGCCCATTCAAAAAGTGAAAAGTGTTTAATCAAGTTGTGTAAGAATGTGTAACAGGATGTATAAGCATATATATAAGCATATATATTCTTGATCAGCTTAGTCGATTCAGTCGATCAACCTTAAAGATAACATTAAGTTCGCTTAAGAAACACAGCTTTTGTCAAACAAAAAGCAATTTCATTTTGAATAAACTATATGCAGCAAGGATTGAACATATCTTCTAGTCGGGCACTCTCATCTGTGGCATTCTAACCTGTTTTCAATAAGAAATTGCTTTCATAAATATCTAAAACTGTTAAATTCTTTTTTAATATCAAAAGTCAAATTTCTTGTTGCTTATATACAAAAATCCATCCAGTTCTATATTGAGTTCAGTTAGGTGAGGTTATTTATTTTTATATAAAAAAAAGACATCCATTTCTACATTGAGTTGAGTTGAGTTAAGTTAAGTTATTTTTAGCTGTTGTCTAGGTGCGAGAATGAAATTTATGAGTATCCCACTCGAGGCTGTCCGGTTCGCAAATGAAGTTGTGCACTTGAGTTGGGAGCACTCCAACATAATGTAAATGTTCTGGATTCCACACACACACACAAACCCTAAACATAAATTTAAATGTGTATATTTTGTTGAACACTTGTCACTTTTGTGGTTTAAGACTTGTCCTTGATACACTTTGAAAGCACTAATATTCATTATTCAGTTATGCTTGCGAGGATCACATACCATTTCGGATTGGAGGTTATATATTTGTATGTTTTTTGGTTATGCAGGAAAATTTCTCGTCCAGAAGAGCCGCACGAGCAATTTACACTCAAGAAGTTCAAATCACAAATGATGATGAGTTGGGCAGTTTCTATGAAATTTATACTATAACTGCTTGGCCGTCCAGTTCGGTTCAGTTCGGTTTGGTTCGGTTCGCTATGTGGGTCTGAAGAGAAACAACCAGCAGAAGCAGAAGCGACGACCGCCAAAAAAAACTCGATGAAACACATAAAGTAACGCTGCCAACAATAACAAGCTTGGCAACAACACGAGCAACATTAACAACATCAAACAAAAACAAATCAAAATTTAAATTATTTAATACGTTATTGGCCAGAAACGACCACAGCTAGAAGTGGTCACATGTCTTTAAGTAAAGTCAAAAAAACATCGGCATGCCGCGTATCAGTCGACAATCCAATATTCAAAATCTCAAATCCAAACAATCGCATAACAACCATCGCCAATCACTTTGGTGTCGTCACGTCGTATGCATGACGCATCCGAGTCAAAGACTAAAATAAACAACGCAGAACAAACCAACCATAGTCAAATTAAAAGCATGTAAGTGTATTACAATCGGGAGTGCCAGACTTATAGGTATTCTGTACAACTTACATTAAAATTCAGGGAGATAATATTAACCCGATTAAAATGTGGTGCCAAATTATGAAGAGTAACCAAACCGGAACCGAAACCGTTAATCTAAGTTGACCAATTGAATTCAGAACTTTTTTCTGAGCTGAGAAGGTTTAACTCTTTAGCTATCGTCAGCTTATACAGATTTAGAATATATATTCTTTATTCACAACTTTAAATATACCCATTTTAAGTAAGTACAGGGTATAATTACATGATTTGCCTTGTTCTCTCTCTCTCTATCTCTCTCCTTCTCGCTCTCTCCCTTTCTTTGCTCTCTTAAATGCGTGTGGCATATTCCTGAGTGCTTGGCACGGCTCGTGTCTTAAGCGAAGTTCGTTGCCTAAGTCTTTTGATTCAGCATTCTAGAATTCAATCTAATTTGCATAACATTTTGAAAGAATAATTTTTTTAAATGAAGTATGGCCATCTTAATTATGTAAAGTTCTCAACTTTTATTTTCTTTTCTTTTGTGGGTTGTTCATAAATCTGTCTAACTTTGGGCTTTTTTAAAGCAATTTAGAGGCATTAAAGGTTTAGAGGCACAGGTTTCAGTCCACTTTTGTCGCAAGCATCCAAAATCTTTTGATAAACCTCAACTTGACTTGAACATGTCGAGAGTTTTATGTTTGTTGTGGAGATTGTCCAAAAGCCCATCGAATTGTTTGCCTGCTCACTTGACCTCTGGCACAAAAACAAATAAACACACAACTGAACAAAAACCAAAACAATTTAACGACTTTCGATCACTACGAATATCATTTCCGTTTACGAAAAACAGCTCGTACATTTATTTGTGTGGGGGGAATTACATTCACCCAGCCAGGCCAACAAGTGTTGAGCCACTTGAGCCTCTAAAAATGCAGCCAAGGTCAACATTTTACACAGGAAATGCCGCCGGCTAGGCTCACTAGTGAATGGGCCCATTAAAATGAGTTAGAACTTTAGGCTTGAGCGTGTGGATTCTTTTTAATTGTGTGACATCATTGCTAAACTGCCTTTCACCATCTGATTAATTGTATCTTTGTCATTGCAAAACAGCTGGTAAAAATTTACAGTGATGGTAGAAAAATCAGCACTCTTTTCTGAGATTTGCTTTAATGTTTTATGTGTTTTCGTTGCTTATCTAATGCGACCACTGAATACAAGGAAAAAAACAAGACTATTAAATACACAAAGGTTCATGGATAATAATTTTATTAGTGTGGACTGGGTTAAGACATTCATGGATTAACAAAGTGATGTTGAAATATTGGCCAACGTGTTTTGCCTTATGCAGATAATCAAAAAGAACAAAGAAAGAATGTAAAGACAATTTTTTTTTGAAAAGCCAAAATCTAGAAGGGGTTTTCGATCTGTTTTGCTTATATATTTTATCATTCTTACACTTATGAGCTCTAAAACATACATATTTGTATTTTGGTGCTATTTTTTCGACCTCAGTTATATCCTATATGGAAATAAGTGAATTAAGAGTTGCGCATTTTTTAAATGTTTCTTATTTATTGATATTTTCACGGTTATTAGAAAAATTGAAAAGTAATCAATAATGACTTGTGCTGTAGCATATTAAATGTCAAGTCGAAAAAAACCAAGCATACATTAATCTCCCATTAGCAACGCATCGTATCAGATGTATATCATACGTCAATTTATTGTTGCGTCAACATATTTTGTTGACTGGCCACAAATATAAAAAAAAATTGTCATTTAAAATGGCAAACGGAAACTAAATCAAAACAGAGACAGAATCACAAAACTAAAACAAATTTAGATTTAGTTCATAAATTTGTCTTTTTGCAGGGCGTGGCAGATTTATTGAGTTATCGTAAATGAATAGATGATGGCTTTTAACAAATATCGCCCATTTTATACATGTTTATAGCCATAATAATCAAAGAGTCATTTCATCTTCTTTTTGGCCAGCTTGTTTTGCCGCGCACCGGAACCAAAAATAAAGTCTTTGCCAAATTTGCATAGTGGCAGCAAGAGTTGATAAAAATGTGTATAAAAGTCTATATATATAATTATATATATATATATATATTATTTAATCGATAGAACCGGTACACAAAAAGGCTATCAATAATAAAATCAAAAGCCGTGAGCCGAACCAAACCGAACCGAATCGATCGTCGGCATCATTAGCCAAGCGCACTAAAAAACTGGCCCAATTGAAAGCGAATGGAAAGCCCAAAATCAGAAGCAGCCAAATTACTTGTGATCATTAACCTTGTCAGCTGACTTAAGCAACGCCTAATTCAATTATAATGCTTTAAGCGTGCTGCCGTGACAATAGCTTCAAGTATTATATAAATTAAGTACACGACCTGTTGGCCAATCCATGTTTTTTTATTATGATCGCTTACAAGCGACACATGCAATATAGCGATAAGAACAATGCGCACCATTAATCCGATCAAAAACAAGCAAAAGTGATCTGTAATTGAGGGTGATCGACTTGCAGTTTTACTGGAGCATATCTGCAGGAAGAGAGATCCTCGATTATAGTCCGATACCAAATGTGGAAGAGAATATTGAAGCTAAAAATAACAGATGGACAGATAGTAGCATATTGACCTCCCTATTGATATTTAGCGATACACTTCAATACTCAGCCCCCTTGCTCTTAACGTCTCTGATGTCTGTCAGGCAGCTGAACACGTCTATCAAAAATCTATAAAACACTTGATAGGTTCGATACAGAATTTTGTCAGCCTTTCAACAGGCTACAGGGTATTAATATTAAACTGCCCATCAAAGCGTTTCCCACGTCTAAAAATAATGTTCGGTAAACGCTTAAAGACACACCTCGTTCTTCAGACAGCTGCTGCTGGTGTCGCTTTGGTATTTGCATTTGAATACGCTGAATAAGATGTAAATACAACAAACTACGACAACGACTAGTATAGTATTACTATTGCTGATAAATTTGCATGGCTGGGCACAGTCAACGAGCGTTTGCTCCATTGTCAACCGCACAAATTGGGCAGCTTTTGTTTACTTTAACATTTCAATCGACCACACATAAAAATGACAATCTTTTGCTAAATAAGCAATGCCAAATTGAGTTGCTAACTTAAGATATCCAAGCTTCTTTAGCATAAGCTGAACATAACAATAATGAATTAAACAAAGAAGCTGCTTAAAGTGCACAATTTTAGAGAAAAAACACACATGTTGCAAGCGACGACTTGGCCTTGACTAAATTGCGCTGAAGATTCTTTATCTGTGTGAAATTAGCTACAAGCAACTCATTTGTTGTTGGACAAGCTTTGCTCCTGTCAAACACTTAAAGTGATGTTTGTCAAGTGTCGACAACAATTAATAGTAAATAACTGACATATTTCCGCACATTCACCACATTAGCATTATAAATATTCAATTAATTACGCATAACGCATAACAGTAAATACCCGGTCTATATATACCCTAAATGCATCACTAATTGGAAAAAAGTGTATAATGAAGTTGTTCCAAATTTGAATATATGAATATATATATGTATATTTGTATGAATTAACCAAACGAATAGCAGAATTAGAGGCATCAAATTTAAAAGATAAGTTTCCTTATACCATACCCAGATCATATTTATTCGATTTGATTGATAACCGCAGCCATTTTGCGAATATCGATACAAATCAATTATCGATAACAATAAAATAAAGATAAAGCCTTCCAATTGATACATTATATACTCAAACAACTTCAGCCTTAAATATTTCAGTGAGCTTGATTGAGACACACAGATTTGGTTATTCACGACGAATTTTTCTATTGACAGCTGTGTTCAGGGTATCTCTCAGTCGAGTACTCGCAACTGGAGCAGTCCAACTTGTTTAGTTTGTTTACCTTCTCTGTCAAGTTATGAGTGTATCAAATATTTAAAGGCATCCAGCGTACAAATTTATTGCAGACAAACAGTCAAACTTATGTAGAATGTTGTGTTGAGCACTCTAGTGATTTATAAACGCTTCAATAAATTGTATTTAAATGGCTGCTCTCGAGCAAATAAATAAAATGTTGCCTTAAGTATTTCCGCCTCCGCATTGAGCCAATCATATTCATGACTATTTTTTTATATTTTGTTTAATTTCTGTAGGTCCCAAATACTTGACCCAAACAACTAACTGACTGACTAAGTAGTTCAATCAAATGCAAAATAAAATAACATTCCTCTTTCTCTTGCTACATCTATATTTATATCTATTTATTTTTTGTTCGTTTTTTGCCGTTTCCAATAATCGCCACGCGCTGTGAAAGCTGCCAGCGATGTTAAAATATAATTGGCCCGCAGAGAATTCATTATGCAAATTGATACGGCAAGCC